AAATTGGTTCAAGCAATCCGGCAAACGCAGAGTAAGAAAGTCCTTTCCAAACTTCTCACTCGAATCAAGGTATGTCTTCACATCGATCTTGTTGGGAAGTCTAATGTATTGTCTTCAGATCACCGAGGACCAGGCGGCACTACGCCAGGTCATGCGGTTGCGAGGTTTCAGTTTAATGCACAACATTCTTGAAGATCACGCCAAAGACGTCGATATTACAATCGCCGTGAGTCATTATCCTTGAGTAGGGTGGTCACATAATAACGTAACCGTTACAGGCTTTGGAGGCCATGAGCCGCTGGCCGCTTATCCAGAGGAACAAGGTTGACGATTCGAAGATCACCGTACCTGTTCGAGTGTGCCTGGAGTCAGAAAACGAAACTATGAAATGGCTTGCCCAAAAGGTCACTGATACCATTACTAAACTCATCACCATTCTAACGGGATATTTACAGCTCTTGGACCACTGGGACACCCTTGAAATCGCATATCGCATTCCAAAGCGAATTAAAGCTGTAAGTTAACATTCCGTTTCCAGCCAGTAAGAGCACGGTATCATGAAAATTTTGCAGGATGGCGAGGAAGAGCAACCTCCGCACCACATTGCCATGATTGAATCACTAGAAGGGGAACTCCGCCCACTCAAGAAGCCGAAATGGCAAGATCAGTACGAACAGCACCATTTTCGCCCTGCCCCTAAACGTCCGCCCTCTACCTCTACTGTCATTATTCAGAATCACTGGGCATCTCCTTACATTCCGCCAGTGGTTCATAGGCGATCGAAAGACGAAATTGCTGCTGTGATCGCCGCTGCAAAGGCAGCTGCCGAGGCGGAGGCCGCCAAGGTCCCTCCTCCGTCACCTCCTCCAGAGGAGAAAAAGGTGAAGAAAGAAAGACCTCCGAAGAAGACTCAGACACCAGAGGAGAAGGAGGCCAATAAGGAGAAGAGGCTATTGAAGCTCGTGGGCGCCGTCGTCGTCAAATGCATGTCCAAATATTCAAAGCAGCTAAACCACGACCAGTTCAAGAAATACGCTAAGGAGGTGGGTGTCATCTTATTGCTCTACAAAGGGATTGTCCACTGATTTTATCTCCCAGCTCACGCACATCATTGCCGAGAAGGAGAAGAAATCTTCCAGCTATAAAGATGGAAAACTGGAGGCACTATCTGACGAGAAGACGGCAAAGATCAAGAAGTTTGCGAAGGAATACATCATCAAGGTGCTACGGAAGCATGAGAAATCTAAGCGAAAAGCCTCATCGTCTACTGCACCAGCAACCTCATTCGCGATCGAGGAAAACGATCAGGAAGAGGGAGGCGATGTGCCTATGGTGATGTCCGTTGACGAAGCAATGGATCTCGGCGATGGGTCAGAGAGTGAAGCGGATGATGCGGACACAGGAGGCGATGTGCAAATGCAACATTTAGAAGACATGCAACATTCTTCGGACGATATTGATCCATCCCCGAAGGAAGGAGTTGCTGAACACCCTCCACAGTCCCTTACTCCAATAACACCATCGGACGCCACTATTGACCCTAGACTGCGGCATCGGCTTGAAGAGCCGGGGAGCCCTTCAAAACATTGTTGGGACTCAAGTACATAGCACTTACTCCATCGTTATCTCCTATCTATCACGCTAAGTATTCGCCTCCTCACATGCGTAGTTATTAGATTGCATCAAGTTTTTCATCGCTGGACAATTCAACGCATATATCTTGGAATTGTACCAAATGTGCTTATCTTTGCACTCAGGGTTTTGCAATGCACGTCAGTTGAGTACCACCCACACTATGCTAGCACAGGAGGACAATGATTAAGAATTAAGGCCAACAGTAGTTCAAACGTTCATATGCTGTACACTGGTTCTAGCAAGATATCATGCTTGCCAAATGCAAGTCACTTCTGGAATACAAGTTTCGGATTATCCGCTCGACCTTCACTCAATCTCTACTACAGACAAGCGAGTCTGAGGATTCATATCCATATGAAACGATGCTCTATACCAACGCGCGCTTAACCACGGCTCGTCCCCGCTCACAAACTTTACCCAAGCACCGCTAAACACTAGCATTCATTTTCAGGCAATCGAGCATCATAATCAAACAAGCCGGTCAGAGACGAAGCAGTAAAGGGATGAGGCTGAAGGATGTTAACACGCGAACGTCGAGGGAGAACAGTTGATCTCATCTGGTAAGTCCAACGGGACATGTCAACTTGTTTGGTTTTGGGGGCTGTATATTTATAGGAACTGTTCTTTGTCGAATGAAAAAGTGCGGGCAATTGTGGGGTACGATCAAAGTCCAGGGGCTGGCGGCATCTGGGCCAGACGAGAAAGCGATAGGCTAAATGGAAGAGATTCCGGAGAGGAGGTTGACAACAATGTTAACTTTCTGGTATCGCCCTTGCAAAAGGAATAGAAACGTTTCTGGAAGTACTTCTCAATAAAGCTTTCTTTATAATTCCCCCCGATTCAGTGAGATTCTTCTTAATTGCCGAGTGGACGGATACAATTCTGGTTTTGCAAAAATGATGAGCCTTTTCCTATAGTGCAGGATGAGTGCCCAATAGAGCGAGGAAACGTACTGAAGAGAGCCAGAGCCAGGAAGTTTGCCATGTGTGACAGGATAAGGCTGTGTGGGATTTTCAGTAACGAGGAGGTGGTAGTACGGAAAAGTGCAGTAAGCCTTTCAGCGCCGGTCCAACTTCACGAGTCTTCTGCTTGTACATGACAAGGGAGGGTCTGACATATATAACAGCTGGATGTAGAGTGTCAGATAAGGGCAATGAAGGTGCTTCGATGGCAACTGTGTAACTTCGGTACGGTGGTTGAAGGGAGACACGCAAAAGTTTCGGGTAAAAGTTTATTGGTGATCGTAGCTGAATTGACACAGGTGAGATAAAGAAGGGCTATTAAGATAAGACCTTGCTCTCGTGCTCGATTGTTGGCATCGGACCCGCGTTCCGAGAGGGCATCATCAGAGAACCGATGAACAAATGAGAAGGTTATTTAAATCAATATATAATACAGCATCACAACAATCTTCGTATATCTGCCGACCGCTTCCACATGGGAATATTTGACATTATCGAGGAATCAACAATTTGAAAGCACACCAGCTGAGGAGCGATATTGGCTAAGTAATCTCTTTCATTTGAATGGGTCTAAGAAAACATAAACGGGCCCAGGTTCACAAAGTTTAATATAGACAGATACTGAGAGGGAAAAGAAAGGAGGTTGCGATCTGTGAAGGTGAAAGGCACTGCGATGATGTTATTAGTAGTGCGGGTATATGTCGTTTGGTCCGCAGGCAATCTTGCAGTTAATTTGCTTGAGGGTTGAATTTTGTGCTAGACTCGAAACATTACAGGAAAAATCTGGAGGTGAAAAAAAAAAACAAAGTGTTCCCCAATCAGCAACGATACATCAATCATCAGTAAACCGGTGAGTTCTTGCTGGGGATTATGCTGATTATGGTGCTTTTACATGGTCATATATTGCTTTATATCACTTTATATTACAATGTGACGAAAACCTTTCCTATATATTACGATATATAACGATATATGACGATATCTTCTTCTCACAGGTTCTCTGATGATTACCTGCCAAGATAACGCTCGAGCCAAGCGAACCGTAAGTCGCATGGTGAAAGCAACGTTCAAGTTATTAAATTGTTGGCTGCTAGATGTCGATTGGGGATCTGTGCGAAAAAGCGTTGCCTTTGCGGAGTAGCGGATGCGTTCAACACGTGAGCGACAGATCAACTTTTGTTCCGCTTTGACTTTTGACGACATCTGCTTGAAAGTTTTGACTTTCGTCATTAATGGGACAATTTGTCAAGGTGTAATGAAAGCAAATACCTTCCAGAGGGTGACGATATGCTCACCGCGCGAGTAACAATTTATTTATATGCTGCTTGCACTTTTGATGGTATTCTCTTTAGATATCGAATGACTGAGAGTTGTATCCCACTTTGGATAACGTCACAAGATGTCGTAGCCTTGCGCAGGCACTACATGTTTATATTATAGTGCTTTGACTCAGTACTTGACGGCAGTGGGCCATGAATCGGCTCAGTATTTCACTTACTATTCTATGTATTTGCAGTAAGTTCTCCGAAGTAAAAACTTTCTGTCCTGTCATTAGCGCGAAGAGCGGAAAATACAGACATCATCACGATACCACTGCATCTCTTGAATTCGCATCATCGGACTTGAACGGTGCTATTAGCGTGAATGCTAGATAATGCGGAGGCCAACCACAGCGAACTTTCTTTCCTGTCGGTGGCAGGAAGACCAAAAATACAAACATCATCATAATGCCGCTGTGTCTCTTGGATCCATACCATTGAACCTGAATGGCGCTATTAGCGTGAACGCTAGACAATACAGAGCTCACCACAGCATCACTGCATTTTTCGGAACTAGCCTATCAATCACAATCAGGCTGATCTACCAACTGAAAGCAGATTATTCTCATGAATCGCGATAATGAATTGCTGACGATTAGAGAAAACAACCCTTCTAGAGACCCTATTAGCGTGAATGCTATATAATACAGAGCCCACCACAGTGTTGCTTTATTTCTTGGATTCAGCCTATTAATCACAAGCGGGCAGATCCACCAACTGAGACCAGATCATTCTCATGAATCGCGACAATAGATTGCTATCAATTAGAGAAACAAACCCTCCTAGAGACCTGAGAATAGAGGGAGTTAGCATTTCATTGTCTGGCATCTGAGCTCAAGTATCCTGTTCACTCGCAATTCTGATCATACATGTGAAAATTTATCGAAGCACTCTTCAAGGGACTTCCGAGCAGTACCAGACATTTTCATTGACTCAGATAGGACCAGGGAATAAATTGATGCATATTGACAAAATCAAATTCATCTGATACGAAGACACGACATATCATAATTATGGGTGATATATAAGGCTATAGCGAGAGTATGACACAAGAAGTAGGACGAGCAGGAAAAATGGAAAGCAACTAGTCGGAGTCGAATGCGGCGTCCTCCATCTGCTGTCTCTGGGCAGCGAGAGCATTGACAGACATTTTGGAAACGACGTCCGGCGTCAAGTCCTCTCGATGGTTTCTTCCAAAAACTTTCCTGCACAGGACTAATTCAGCTATCCGAACGAATCACTGACGCTGATAGCTTACCTAGTCCACCACTCAAGAAGTTGATTCACCCTGGATCGCGCAGCTGCACCCGGGGGGGCTTCAAAAAAGTCTACGATATTGTTCCAGAAGATCTGATAGTCGAAATCCCCGTCTACAGTACGCCAGGAAGTGATATTGGAAAGTGCGAATCGAATCTGAAGATTTCAGTTTCACAATTAGAATAAAGTATTGATGCTGCTTACCTGGCAAGCAGTATACGCAATCGCGCGAGGTGTTACTTTTCTCATGCCTATGATAGAGGCAACGCATGTCTTGACTTTGGCTTGATCCGACCGTCTCCGAGCGCATCTGCAATTCTCAATGATATCGGCGCCATCGCCATCGCCATCCACTTCGTTGGCAGAGGAGGGGGATGTGAAGATGGCCTTGAACCCCTTCAATACAATTAGCTGTGAATCAGTTGCAAGAATTAGGTCGCCCACCATAACCAATAACTTCGACTTCATGAGCCCGCGCTCCAAATTCTTAGCGTCAGCTTCATAGTTCTCATACATAAATGTTGGCCACGAGTTTTCAGACACGATGAAAGAAGTCGTACGGTCGCGAATGCCAGCCTTGACGCTAAATAAAACGTCAGCGACATGCGAGTGACAAGGATCATCACATACACTGGATCCTCCCAGCGCCATTCCGCTGGGCAGAGTAGTTGACCACACGCATCGTTGACGAAACCTCGATGGTGCTTGTCGTCGGTCCTGATGAGCGGAGTCGGACAACACAGAATATTGATCCATGAAGCAACGAGGTCTTTGAGCGTTCCTGTGTCATCGCCACGAGCTGAGTCTGCACCTCGCTTGAGCTACATCGAAAATAAGAACCGGATGTGACACATTAATGTTGGAATCACCTTTCTGAGCATATCCTCCGACTCCTCATGATCAAGAGTTGCTAGCCTCTCGTGAAACCACGGTAATGATTTGGCGAGTTCGATGTAGCCGCGTTGAAGGCGGTCTTGTCTATTCCTGATTTTGAACAAGAACGTCAAGACAGACATGATGAGTACTTACTCAAGAGTAGAACCGCTGTCTCTGTCTTCACAACGCCGATCATTTTCGGCGACTAGGTCCTCTATGGGACTGTAGAGGGCAACCATACGACGGATAGCTCGTCCCTGTGAAACATAGTAAGTTGTCTTCCTACAATTAGGTATATTAAGTTGAGTTTCAGAAGTTCAGAATGTGCAGACCTATGTTTTACCACCTTGTCCTGCTTCAAAGCTTCGACCTCCTCCATGAGGGCGGTAATTCTCCGCTTTGCCCTAGCATGAGGAGATGTCGGGACACAAAGTGATACTTCTCTAGGAGGAACAGGAAGGTCTCCCGCAGAATCGTCCCCGGATAGAGCCATACTGAGAGGTGGAAGAGAGTGAAATGCGAATGAGGGAGAACTTCGCGGTCAGAGGTCGTCTTATATGCTTGTCGTCTACGCTAATGACCTGATATAAGACTTAAACTCAAATAGGCAAGTGGACTTTGACCTTACATGGTAACGCAGAAAACAAAATTTCTCCGTTATGTCAAGCCTTTTTTGGGATAGTATAAGGAACAGTGTCAACGGACATACAATCGAAGTTATACATACTATAAGGTGTACGACTGCATCAGCTGTACAGCCTGACATCACGACACTGTACGTCGCTTGCATTGGTAGTACTATGGACCTGACCGACGTGCATTCGTTTCAGGAGAACTTGAACGACGATGGTATCATTTTCAGCTTCCCATAATGACAAGTAGTAGCCTCCTTACCGTCGTTGAATGCGTGCATGTTCAGAGTCCGTACCCCTCTGAGTCGCCGTCACGGTGACGGCCTGGAATCATCAGAACTTATCACAAGATTCCTTCGCCTGGAGTCTGTCAACCTCAAGTGTCGAGCCCAGCTGGATTTGGCCGCAGTGATGATTTGATTAAGAAATTACAGATATTCAGAAACTCACTTGGTAACTGGAAAGAAATCGGGAATGCGGCCAATGCTCCGAGTCGTACGACCTCTGAGTCTAGTCGACAATCACTTCTACAACCGTTGGTAAACATTGTCCTCCGCAGGGCTGCGATCAATGTTGGAATGCGTGCACCGTCACGCACTGGTACTCGAAGTCAGCAAATATACAGCACACGCAACAGATCGTCGTTGAAAGGGTACTAACATCAGCCGAGCATGCCCGTGACAACCGTGACGTCCCGTTGTTTGCTTCCCATTCTATACTATATATGACTGCGTACCGTATTGCTGTATTTGGAAATTTATGGAATGTATCCCCTGGTTTCATCAACGTTCAGCCGATTAAATTTATAATACGTATCTATGTCTCAATCTACACACCACCTGAAATACCATATCTGGATAGATGCTGCAATAGTTTTCAAGCGTGTTACCTGTTTGTCGATCAACTTTATCGTTCGTAACTTTGAACTCGCTTCCGCATCTTAAATCTTAATCCTTAGCCTAGGATCTGAACACTGCCAATTGTATAAAGTCGAGTGACTCAGAGAAGTAAAGTAAGTCCAATCTGTCACAGTCATTGAGTGCATGATGATGGAGTCCGACACATCATCCCCCGAATCAAGTCAGGCTAGCCATGCCAGTCATTTTCTTGATCAGGCGCGGAATATAAACAATCCCATTGATTCCATTTCCTCTGCGGCCCGACGAGCCGTTCAGCTATTATCTTCTGATTCATCAGAAGCTCTGGAAGGACGACAAGCAGAAGATCACGATGAGCGGTCTCTTGACTCGGAGAAAGGTAATTTCATCGTCTCACATGGTAAAATAGCACGCCATTACTCAAATCGTAATATAGTCGAGTTTCGCATTCCTTTGAACACGACAGATCGGAACATATCTACGACATACGTGGACCGTTTTCATTCCGAATCCGACCACCCCATGGATATACTGGATTCTACGAAGGCCGCGATGAACGTTCCAAAGACGTATCCGCACTTGGGTTGGCGGTTATCTACAGCCCGCCGCACGGACCCCCCACATCGGCTTTTAACTTCTCAAGATCTCAACAGCGCTTTCAAAGCTGCACGTTTTGAGCAGATGTCTGGCAGGAAAAGGAAGAAACTTGCCATCGAAATCGTCAACACCGTAAGTTTTTTCGATGATCACGCGTTGCTTGTTCGATATAACAATAACTTGTCACAGATGCCTGTGATAAAAGGGAAGCCAGCAAAAAAAGAGGCAAGCACATGTTCTGCAGGCGAGCAGAGCTCTCGGACGTCCGACCTGTCACTTTTGCCATACACGAAAGAACTTGAGAACATCAAGAGAAAATTGTTGTGCCCCGAGCATCGACTGGGGGACTCGAACGATATATTCTGTTGGGTAGATAAGTCACAGTCAAACGCCCCTCATTAGTCCGCTGTGTACCCGAGACCTGCAGGAATGGGCTAAATACCTAGTACGTGCTTTATTTATTCATTTTGCCTCAGAACGTACCACACCATGAGACTCATGAATTTTAGTACGATGCTCAAGACTCAGATAACCCCTGCGTTACTCTACCAAATACACCCCATTTCGACGAGATTCACAAGGCACGTAAGGAACGAACTGCGTCGTTGCTTCAACGTATGCCCACCGAACTTATTTCGCCCATTATTCACAATCACGTCCACCTCTCATCCGAGTCTGCCATCGATAACACATGGGCCTCTAATTCCGAATGGCAAAGGGGAGACCCTATGGTTCCTCCAACTCTCGAGAGGACATATGCACTCTACATGGAGAGTGACGAAGAAACCGATGAAGACGGAACACCGCAAGATGATATTGACGATATCCTTAGGAAAATTGATCTTTGCTACCCTGCTCTGAATTTTCTGCAGTATGTGGATAAGCTAAAGAGACGTGGAATATTTTATCTGCCGACTGCAGCGCATTTTGGTATTAGGTTTTACGTGGAGAAGGTTGGCATGTCAGAGGGCGCTGCATATACTTTTCACACTCATGTCTGTAAAGCTCGCATGAAGGAAGAACGTGCGAGGGCGAGAAGGAAGGAGAAAGGGAAAAAGAGGGCACGGCGAGTGCAGGCTGACAATCTCGAGTAGCCTCAGGGTGCGTCACTCACTTATTTTCTATGTCGCTTGTATTCACTCACTGACTCTATCTAGTTACAGTAGTATGGACTTAACGAGGGAAGCCACGGCTGGTTCACCGTCACCGTCTCTGGTTTAACTCTTTTGTTTCTATGTTTCCGAAGGTGTACCAGCATTTACCTAGTACTCCGATGCACACACTTCCAAGTCTTCATTGCTTTCTGGCTGTTCTCCTTGCTTTTAACACCCACTTTCGATTGCTAATGACGTGATCGCTAATCTAATAGTATATTGTAACTTCAATGCCATACGAAATCACTGGAAGGTTACGAAAAAGCCCTACTTAGTCACTACTTACGCGTCTACCTATGATACACAGTTTTGAAAGGTATTAACATGGCTATATATGATCATTTCGTCAATTAATTCAAAGTCTGACTCGGATGACTTCCCCGACTCCCACGAACTTCCGAAGTGTGGAGGAGAGCTGTATATCTCGGACTTGTGAACTTTTCACTGATCATGATGGTGTTCTCACTTCCACGTCATCCGAGTCCTCACTTGGCTGCACGGTTGATCAAGGTCCCGGGCCTGCATCCAGCCTGGTTTTGGACGAGCTTGAAAACTGGCACATCCTCTGGAAGGTGCTTGCTTTCATTACTAGTACAATTTGAAAATTTATTCGATTAATTTATGACGAACGTTAAATATTCCAAACAGATGTCGTTAAAAGTCCAAGCGGGACAAGTATTGAATATTGAATATTGAATATTGAACGCATCCGCTGTTCCACCGGTAACGCTTGTTCGCACGCATCCCCAATCCCGTTGCTTTCACCATTGGTGCATGGGACTTGTGGTTCACCTGGCTCGAGCGTTATCTTTGTAGGTAATTGGTGTATCGTTGCTGATCGGGGATGGCACTTCGATGTTTTTTTCACCTTTAGTATTTCGACATAAAATTCACCCCTCGAGCATCACAAGGTTGCTTGGCGGGCCAATTTCTTGGCCTTGAAACCTGTACTTAAGGCCTGAGAGTTCTGAGTATCACTGCATGATGATGGATCCTGTCCTCCGTGGTGATCTTCAGGTCATGAAGCCCGTTTGCTTTGACTCTATACGTGAAGTAGGTCTCCTTGGGTTCAATGGATCTCCGCCTGACCTCTGTGACAGGGAATGCGATGCACGGCAGATGCAGCCGACGGTGAGCAAAATGTGGAGCGCTCAGCCGGTCAAGCGAGCTGTATAATCCCAAAGCTAACTCGACAACCGCAGTGTCTTGTAGCGACGAGACCGATCTCTGCATCTCGTCTTCAGATATAGATGGCAGCGTGTATGGTGGGGCTTCGTATGAAGCGATGTCGGCAGGCAGACAGCTGTTGAATTGAGATGATGTTCCGACCCAGTCCAGGACAGTAATGTCCCCAGACTCTGCGATGATCTCCTGTAAGAGCCGCCCGAGTGCCTTTTGCTTCTTCTCGCCATACATGATAGGGAGCTGAACGCCAAAAATGCCAAATAACGAGTACGCGATGTCTTCCTCCACCGTGGTGACACGCGTCGACGCCCATTGCAATTTCTCGCAGGGCGTTTATCATTCCTGGACGGAAGGCGACAAGGGTTTGTGCATCTATCCCGGTAGCATCTTCCAACTCCTGCATGATCGCAACAGACTGCTTATGGTTGGAAGAGCGGTTGTTGAGATAAGGGGTCCAGTCAGATTGATAGAAACGGATGACTTTCGGGGCGAGAAATTCCGGTAGGGTCCATCCACGCGTATTCCATGCGCTCCTTGCCAGTGCGCCTGGCTTCGATGATGGTGGAACATCCGACAGGTAGACCATTGTCAGCGCTGATGTACGATACCAGAGAAACATAGAGTTGAGCGATTTGACATAATTCGGATTCTCCTAACTCCGAGTCTTCGGATGCCTCGAGTCTGACTCCTCGGAGTCTCCGAAGCTCCAGGCTCACCAGTTCTCGTGTCCACATTCCAACAATATCTCATCATCTCTCTCTGACTCTTCTGATTGATGCATCTAGTATGCATGTTTTACCGTGAACTTTGTCAGGGTTTGTCCCATCCTGCCTCTGCAATCATGATGATCGATTGAATCAAGATTATCATCACCAGCACAGAACATGACAGTTGTTGTGTGTTTGTTCTTATCGCAAATATTCCCGCCGATACGCAGCGTAGCAAATATAGGCGCGTTGGGTGAAGGGTTTTGTGGTGTCGATGCCACGGCGTCGGAAAGACGAAGGTATGGTGCCTAGTGACACCGTGACCGAAAGGCTGGGATTGTTTACTGATCCCTTTCGTGAACTTTGAGGGCAGCAATTCGATTACTAACTGTAGTAAGTGTGTCACTAACTGACTTGAAACTCAACTCCGCTGGCTCTCACACTCATCCTTGCCTCAAAATCACCACGACAGCCTGAGGATGGCAAGCACATCGAGCATGTCCCACCCTACTATTCCTATCTCTCTCCATGAATCCAGCATTGATTATCGTCCTGCAGTTTCGGATCTGTGTGGAGGTGACAGCCAATCTGTGCAGCATGATAATACTAAAGTCAAGCATCCTCACAACGAGAGGATAATGGAACCCATACCCTCCAATCGACAGTCGCTAGCGACATTCGAAAACGACGACCTTTTTGCAACACCGCACCTTCCCCCTGTAGTCCGCAATATGTCGTGCTATGCGAGACGTTCTAGATCAAGGTTCAAGCCCTATCAGCTAGGGGACCATATTCCTACTGCACTCGAACACCGCTTCACGGAAAAGTACCTTCGGAAGCGTGATGAGGCTGATTTGAGTTTCATAGATGTCAAGAAGGTATAGAACATTATATATACTACAGATCATGCCATATTGATACTCATGCTCCCAGGGCAAGGAGATATTCAAGAGAGGCATGATGCGTATGCCAGACGAGACCGTCTATCACGCCGTGGTCGCCAAGAAAGCTGATGTCGAGTGCAAGCGCTTACGCGCTCTTTCGACAGCTTGGGAGCTCGAGTCAACTGAAAGGCACGCAATGCTTCTTCAACATATTCTCAAGAATTCTACTGCCGATTATATCGACAGCATGGCAGAAGCTTCCTTTTTCGAAAGGCTCTTGGTCAAGCATAGCAGGCAGCAGCTCGAAGACGACGCGGACTTTGTCATTGCTGCATACACTCGTGATTTCACCGCCTTCGATATTGCAGAGGCGCAACTTGGGCAACTGCAGGAGATCAGTGCTGGGCGGAAGTTGCAGCTGTCCACAGAGGATATCTCGGATGCGGATGATCCGGATGACCCGGATGATCTGTCCACAGAGGAAGAGGAGTTGATTGAGGAGCAGATGTCTGAAGAGGAGGCGGTTAAGAAGCAGCCACTCGAGTCAGTGGCGCTCAAGAAAGGGCCACCCTCAGAGGAGGTGACTGAAGACGGCTGCTCAGCATCACTTGGGGAATACTTCCGGGACTGGCAAGGCTACTACTCGGCGGCCGCTGCGGCCTGAGTCAGGAGGTGCAGAGACCGTTCTCTTTGCTAGCTGAGGTTAGTGCGATCATCAAACTACGGTATAGACTCGATGACAGTCACCCCACAGGCTGCATGTGTTTGTTTGCATTCCAACAATGATTCTTCACACTCAATTCTTGACTTCAACATAACCGTCCGTCACAGTGTATAACATGACGTTTCTCTCGATGAAAGGACATCATCATTGGTCCTGGCCTAGTTCACAACTGATAACTTTATTTATGCATAAACAATTCGGTTTATTATCACCGAAGTGTTGAATTAGTATCCAACTCTTGTACTTCGAGTCATCTACCCAGGATTCGCTACCGTGATTCACATCCGTACTACTACCAGAACCTGACATATCATAACCTGTCTTATGTGGCCCCGTTAACGCCCAAACGCGCAAGTACTATGGCAAACGGTGCTGTCTACTGGTACGTAATGGGTGAATTGCTAAGATGCCAACCTTCCGAAATAGCCAACACAAGTTGTCACTCCCGAGCAGTGTCCAGCCGCCGCAAGTCAACCACCATCACGGTGACGGTGAAGAGTCGAATGCGTGCAAAACTTCTATGCTTTCATGTTCTGTCTTTGCTCTTCATTTTAAAACAACTTGAACTGATGGTCACAACATCCTGCAATGCTCCAGGCTGCTTCTGGGAGAAAGGAACCTATGAGGCATCTCGGGGGTTGAGTAGGCATCGTGCGACATGTCAACACTACCAGAAATCTAGATCTTTAGCCAGTCAGAAAAGACGTGAAAGGGCGAAACAGGCAGCCAGATTTATTCCGAGTCTGCCTACGACAAAACCAGGCTCCAGTTCCTTGGTGAGCAGTCTTTTCCCACTACAGTGTCAAACAGTTTTGACAACACAATTCTCGCATACCTCCAGGAATTATCGCCCATCTGGCGCGTGGAGAATAAGCGCCCCAAACCCATTGTTCCATGCCAACCGTCAGGCAACCATCGTAGGACTCAGGCTGGCATCATGTTTCCTGGCGCAGCCACGGCGGCCTCGAGTCTTGGACGCCTGGACGACTCTTCGGACCAGCGTCAGCAGTCTGATATTGATCATAATTTTGAATGCGTGTCTCATGATGCTTTGGGTATGTCCGAGAGTTTGAGTCGAGTGATCATTCACTAATTGTGTTTTTTTGCATATCAGAGGAACCTTCGCGCCCTCTGAGGCGAATACCTAGACCTTATCAGGATGTTCCTCTTTCTGATGAGGATGCTAATTACTCGCATAACATCGATGTCCCACCCGCTCAGAATGCAGACCCGCCCCAATCTAGAATCCGAAGGGTCTTGTTGACATTGCGAGACACGCTGCAGATGAGCTTCAATTCTCTTGGACTTTGCCGACTGTACCCCCGTCGCCCATCTTTCGAGCCAGATCAATTTGTCCCGTCCTCACTACTTTCCGCAACATGTCCAAGAGTCACGGAAGAGCCTGATGCACCTGGCATCCTCCCACCTCCCTACCCTTTTTCTAACATGTCAATTTATAGACTCATGTCTTGGATGAATTCCGGGAGCCATCAGAAATCTGAGACTGAAGTCACACGGCTCGTCAAGGAGGTAATGCTGGCGGACGATTTTAACATAACACACTTAGAGGACTTCTCGGTGAGGAAGAGTTTAAGAGAATTGGACAACGACCCCAGGGGGGGGAAGATCGAATTTCCGGATGACTGGATCCAGGCAAACGTCACCATCAAAATTCCTACGAAATCGAAGGAAGATGATGCGATACCTTTTCCCGTTCCTGGATTACATTTTCGCCCTCTCGTCGAAGTAATTCGGTCAGCCTTCACGGACATTCAAGCGAACGCGTTTCATCTTTTACCGTTCAAGCGTTTATGGAAGGATCCGCTTAGCAACCAGCAAGAGCGAATTTTCGACGAATTATATACTTCTGACTCTTGGCTGGATGCCCAAGATGAGCTGAAAAAGCTTCCAAAGGAGCCCGGATGTTCACTGGAACGGGTAATTGCTGGCCTCATGTTTTTCTCGGATGCTACGCACCTGGCAAATTTCGGAACTGCGAAGGCCTGGCCCCTTTATATGTATTTTGCAAATTTGACGAAGTACGCGCGTTCTGCACCACAATCCGGCGCATGTCACCTCGTGGGGTTTTTACCATCGGTGAGTTTTCTACTGTATCGTGAAACGTCAGGTTCATATCCGGGCGTCAGTTACCTGATAGGATCAAAGACGTTCTGAGTAGCTTACCTCGGATATCGAAAAGTGGCATGGCTGCTCTTCAGACCCACTGTCGACGCGAGTTGTTTCACGGATGCTGGAATACCTTACTGGATGAAGACTTTCTTCATGCATACCGGCATGGCATTGTACTAAAATGTGCCGATGGAGTGCTTCGCAGAATATTTCCTCGTTTATTCACATACTCAGCTGATTACCCCGAAAAGTATGTTCTGTCGTTCCGAACCAGCTAGATGTATTGCTGAACAAGTCTCAGGGTTTTAATTGCTACCATTAAGGACATGGGCTCGTGTCCCTGCCCCCGTTGCCTCACACCGAAAAATATGTTTTCTTTTCTAGGTCTCCTCAAGGACATGAGAAGTCGTGTGGAAAATCTCCGGGTCTACGCTGAGACCAACATCGTCAAGGCACGAGAATACATCTATAATTTAGGAAATACTGTAGACGGTACGAAGGTTGTACAGACTCTTGGAGATGGTTCGTGGGTACCCGTTCTGGTGAGTATTAGGTACCTACCGCTCTGTCATCCCGGCTCAGACAAGTAACTCGCAGAATACGTTTGTTGAGAAGCTGGGACCGCTGGGCCTTGACCCGTTTCGCATGCTGGTCGTGGACTTCATGCACGAGTGCGAGTTAGGTACCTGGAAAGCACTATTCACTCACCTCGTCAGGATCCTCTATGCGCTACCACTTGGGGATCAGTTAGTCGCAACCTTGGACTCCAGGTAGGTGGAGTTTGTATAGTTTTTCTACCATCTGATAACAGCAAATGTTATCGCCCGTAGATTTCGTCAGGTTCCGACTTTCGGCAATGGAGTAATCCGATCATTTATGAACAACACGTCCGAGATGAAGAGAATGGCTGCTCGGGACTTCGAAGATATCTTGCAGGTTGTTCCTGCTTCACCAAACTATTCTTTACTTGGCTTGCTGACGACCTCTCTTCAGTGTGCCATACCTGTGTTCGAAGGGTTGTTTCCCGCTAGCCACGACATGATTGTGCAGTCTCTTTTATACAGATTTGCTCAGTGGCACGCACTCGCCAAACTACGAATTCATTCAGACTCGACCCTAAGTTTCCTAGAGGAAACATTCAAGATTCTCTCTAAACAATTGCGGAGGTTCCGTGACTCTACCTGCGCTGCCTTTATCACCGTGGAACTACCGAAAGAGAAGGCAGCCCGCCAACGGAGGATCGCCGAATCCAATAATGCTCCCTCAGATTCTAGTGTGCCAAGAGTAAAAAAATTCAACTTAAGCACTTATAAGTTTCATGCAATGGGTGATTACAGTGCGAACTATCAAGCTCTTCGGGACTACGGATTCGTTCACCACTCAGATCGTAAGCATCATCTCTTTCCTAGCCCTCAAGTATCTGAAGTTATCTCACCGGCTAGGGAGAGCTGGCGCACAGAGCCTTGAAGGCATTTTATCCGCTGACGAGCAAGCTGGACACTCCAGCCCAGCTAGCGAAGCACGAGCGCAGGCGTCGTGTATTACGGCGAGTCGCAGAAGCAGCAGGTACCTCCCTCCCAAGTAATAAATCTCCGATCGATTCTCCTGCTCCATCTTTGTCCAAGGATCATCATTCTATTGCAACTAATCAAAATGATCCAGTCTCGTTGTTCCCATTCCTCCGGGACAATGATGGTGACCCAGCTATCAAGGTAACCATTCGCACTTTTACCTTTGAAGTTGAATGCTTATGACGGCTTCCAGAACTTTATCCCAAAACTGAAGGATCACATCTTGTACAGGTTAAATAAGTTAGACGTCACTCATTGCGATCGCACATTCACGGATGAGGAACGTAACTCGGTTATAATTCCTAATAATACGGTCTACTCGGTCCAGACGATGCAGGTACATTATACGACCTATGACATGCGACGCGAATACGACACGATCAATCCTAGATCACACTCAGATGTCATGGTACTTTCTGGAGAAACCTCACCTAGGCACCCATACTGGTACGCTCGCGTACTGGGTATCTATCATGTAGATACATGGCTCCAAGGGGGTGGTCGAATCGAGAAACATCATCTTGAGGTCCTCCACGTCAGATGGCTTGCCCCATTAATGTCCCATCGGTCTGGGATACAGCGCGCTCGCCTTCCCAAAGTGGCGTTTGTGGACAAGTCAGACTATGACACATTCGGATTCCTTGATCCAAGTCAAATAATTCGAGGAGCCCATTTAATTCCTGCATTCGCTTCAGGGCGGGGTATCAGCTCCCTTCGCCACGGAAAATCTTTAGCTCGCCCTAACGGGGAATTAGACGACTGGGAAGTGTACTGTGTTGGCATGTGAGTGTAATGTGTCTTCTTGTAGCTGAATGACTCTCATCTGTTAGTGCTAGTTTTGTCGACCGTGATATGTTTTTGTGCTACACCGATATGGGCGTAGGACACCCAGTAGCTCTGCGGAAGATTGTTAGAGACTGTCTTCACCTACCCTCAGCAGTGCCGGTGGAGGTGGAGGCTATGGATGTTGATGAAGATGGAAGCGATCGTGAGGGCCACGAAGAAGAGGAAGAAGAAGAATCGATGGATGCTGACCTTGTTGATGAGCAGTCAGAGGACGAGGGGGAGGATGATGAACAAGAGTCTGAAGATGGGTTTGATGACCTCGGAGAGGAAGTCGAGGACGAGTGTGATGATGACCTCTCGTTTTGAGCTATGTCCGACTTCAGTGATTCGTGCGACTACCATTGTACCTTCGAGTCACTCCTGGGCTAGCGGTACGTTCGGTAGTATCTTGAAAATCCAGTGATTCCTCTCTCTGTCGATAAATGTTTGAATTCCAGAAGCCGTGGACCACTACAGCTACCCCGGATTCCTCTGACGATCGAGCATACTCTCCACCATGCCCTGGCGGAACAACTGTCGCAGAGCCTTCTTACAAGCTTGCTGACAAATGTTGCATCTGGGTCCAATTTCTCTGAGCATATGAACGAGTTGGTCAGCGAAGACCCTTCCGTTGCTCAGAAACGAGCATCGCTCTCGACAAGAAAACAACGCCTATCAGACATTCGCCGGAGACTCATGACTTTTGGCAATAATATTTAATTACTACGAGGGAGTTGCAATGTATTTTCGTCCGTTAGACATAGATCTTCCCTCTTGTTGACCTCCTGTTGACTTCTATCGTTGTTAGTGTAGTGGTTGTTGTACTTTTCTGTTGTGCTTGAGCGTTACTATATTACATGTTCGCGGACAAAGCAATCGGGTTCTTCGTTCGTACTAGTACATCGCTACCTAAATCAAGGGGGAAGCCCTGAGGTGGCTAACCTGACTCCTTGATCGACCTCGACTGGATTCCAGGTAATTGCGCCCTCCTTCCCACGGTCCAACACGTCAAGCTTTGCCATGTCCGTAGGTTCGATTTCCCAACCAAATACGGCCGTTGGATATGACACGTTCTGGCTGTGAGGATTTGGGTAAAGGCGCAAATCTAGGTGGTACCAATTAAGAATATTGACACATGCCGATTGTGCCACTCACCCTCATTGCAAAAGACCACCTAACAAGAATTTGAACAGGATCTTTGGAGTACTACGACACATCAAACATCATGACGCAAGCAGATACAGTATATGGTTACCTTTGTAGAGCTCCTGGATGACTTGATTGTCGAGAGCACCGCGCACGAGTCACGACCTGGACAACGATGGAGCTTTTCCTCACTGATAAAGACGTCTTCACGCTTAACGCCACTTTGCCCTACACCAACACCAACTTGAACTGCATTCTCGTAGTGCCGAGCCCCATCGATTATCCTAATGATCCAACTGAGTTTTGCAACTTTGACTGATGTGTGAATACCCACCGGTAACCATTTTGAAGGGCAACGCTTCCGTGCATTCATCGTTCAAGGAGACACCTTGAAGCCCAATAGCGGACATGGTGTGGCCTAAATGATTTGTGTTGATAAAATACTACGTGGACCTATGGTGACGAAAACTCACCATCAGAGAGTGTAACTGTTTCAACTATGATTTAGATCTGCAGGGGGGACTCCTCTTGTGAATGTTATACGCACAGCTTACACGGACTCCCAGCCTCTTCATGGACAACAGTCCACTCGGCCGTTGGATATTAGTGTAATGACTGAACATCTTTATCCATCTGGATCGTGCATAATCATGATGTTTGGCAGGGTCCCGGTTAGTAAGCCAACGCCGGCAGTCAATCACTGTGACTCCAAGGTTCATTTTCATCCTCGTTGAGCGTCCGAGACTATACAAGCTGAAGTTCGCCGTTATTTCCTTCGGTATCCAGGTTTTTTGGGCCAGAACCGACGACCACAACTGTATGACGATGATGAAGAGAGATATTGGACAATTGTCGAATTATGATGACGCAGGACGGCTCTCGAAGAAAGCGACAAAAGCAAGTTGGAGCATCATCTGGCCAAGCCGCCACAGGAACCGCGACAAATGGAGACATTCAGATGGATACTGGAGAAGGTAGCAGTTCTGGTGTAGCTGGTTTGAAAGAGCAGGGAACAAAGTTGTGGCAGATGTTCAAAGACGTGGTCAATAAAGAGTGAGTAACAACCCAACTTGAGCTTAGACGCAATTACAGCTGCCTCAAGCCATTTTCCTTTCTGATCTCGCTAACGTTTCTTCCGTCCATCACACAGATGTTACATATGGTCTCCAGCGTTCATGCGCTTGACCTCAAAGCGCCATTATCCTGATTATTATGTCTACATTCAACAACCAATTTGCTTGGCCGATATCAAGCAGAAAATAGATGACGGCTTATACAACTCTCTCGATGATATCAGACAAGATTGCGACTTCTGTTTTTCAAACGCCAAAAAGTACAATCAGAAGAACAGTCAAATCTGGCTCGACGCCAAAAAGTTCATGCCGGTGATCGTACACACGAAATGAACTGTCCAGCTGGACAGTGGCACACTGCGTCTGTCATACTTTCTAGGTCTTGTGGCAGAATCAATGTCACTAGCCTCATTCCCACTTTGAGGCCACTCTTGCGAAAGGAACAACTAACCGAAGGCCATCTGCAAGTCCTTGCCTCCTGTTCATTTTACTGAGCTCCAACTTCAAAAGAGGCTTAACCATCGTCGCTGGGTCGATACTACCAGTTTCCTCGTGGAATGGGGGCGGAGTGCCAGGCTACCAGCCAACTGGGTTAGCCTGCGAGTGTCCTAATTTCTACAGCCGCAGAACTCGACCGAGCACAGCTTGAGCAGAATATCCGTCTTCTGACATTTGCGTCACTGGGTTTTGCACACGCCGGGCATGACCTGCCATATTCAGTGGTCGCGTCAATCCCGCAGATTGAATTGAGTCAAGCAGAGAAGTGGGCGATCGATGGTACGTCTTTTTGACATCCTGTCGTTTATAATTATCTCAAATAATCTTCCAAATAGTCGATCTTCTTTCGGGAAAGCTCTCGCAGACCACTCAGTCTTTACACGCTTACCGTTCGTCAGCGCGCACGTTTGAGCGAGAGCAATGGGAGGCGCTGGAAAAACGTCTTGTTGCGTGGAAGGCGAGCCAAGCGAGCGTGTTGGAGGTTTTCACTAGTGCATAAATGCGCGGTAACAGTTCGGCTGTGAGTGAAGTCGTGCAGCAGGTTACGCAGACAGGTGAGAGCTGTTCAGGTTGATGCCGCGTACTAGTAGCATACTAATCAGGGTTCTCCTGGTCAATAAATCAAAGTCACGGTTGACTGCAATTCGTGGGAAAGCCGGTGAAGTTGATTGTCGTTCATCTGAAGTTCTGAACATCACTTCGGCTTTGATGTCAAACGTTCAAAACTCTGCTTACTGAGACGAAAAAACTCTGGTTTGGGCACTATCAACGCCCAGGGGTTGTTGATTAGTACAACAATATTGGGCAGCCAACAAGGAACTTCTATATATATGTTCCCGTCGGTCAGGCAATCACTTGTCACTACTGGTGGTGATTTGCTTGGGAGTCCTGCTACGTACTATGCAGCGTACATATGCACCCGCTCAAACAAATATCATATCATTCCAATCGCTGACATCAAATTGCCTCGAAATTTGAACCGGACCAAGGTAAGCACTTAATCCGATGGTGACACAGCCATTGACATGCGGTGTCAGCGAAGCGCCTGCAACCACAGCATGCAAAACTGACCCAAATAGCAGGTCTCTTAATCACCTTCAACCCGTATCTCTCCCTCTCCTCGATTACCGACTTTGCGCAGTGTTTCTCTCTCCAGTCTGTTTGTGCAGCTCAGTATCCGAGTCTTATATCGATCAAGGTCATGCCACACAAAGAGGCCGAGTCGAGCACGTCAACGAGACGGGGTGAAGCGCCATTGCACTCATCGATATATCGGACTGAGCGCGAAATATTTACCACCATATGGTGCACAGCACCGCCGGGACGCACTTTGGGAAGGTGAGCATTCCTACCAGCCTACTCAATCAGAATCAGGCGGGAATGCAGCGCTTCCTCCTGTGTGGCGTCAGTATATGACGGCGGATGGTGAAATAGGATATCAAGATGACACGCTTGTGATTATCTCGTGGAACCGGCCTTTACCAGGAGTGCGACTAGGTGAGGGATGAAATTGCTACACGGAGCGACGAACTCACCATTGAACGTAGATGATCCCGGAACTCTTGCTGTTCCTGGATGAGAATGGCACATCTCACCACTCGGTCGGTCCTACTTCGTCGACCACAACACTCGGACCACATCATGGAAGAAACCAAAGCCAGAACGTCCGCCATTCAGCATCTGGGATGTCAAGACCAATCAGGCAGTCGGAGATCCACTCTTGCATGATGATCAACTCTTGGCTGTTGCCATATCCCGCGATGGAAAATCCATTGCCAGTGCTGGACTAGACAAAAAAAATTATGTATGGAACCTGGAGGCGGCGCTCAAAAACTTTCTGGTAGGTATGCGCTTTGTTGTCCAATTTCCCTTCCTGACTGGTTTTGGCCATCCAGGCTGCAGATGCAAAGCTCAAGGCAACTCTTCTCTGCTTCTCTTTCACACTACATCTCACTTTTCACTAAGGAAGCCCAACCCAACCGAGAGTTGTGCGCTCACCAATCGTGAGCAACCCCACCTTCTCTCATATGTCTCGTCAGACTTTTGACCCCGTCTTGCGTCTAATCAGTAGGCCCCAAAAATAGGACTGGCAAGATATGTCAGTGTACTTTCTTGTGCTTGACCTTTCTCGCCTGACACCAAGATACAAGGCAATGATTTCTTTGGCAACGAATCAGATCACGCGTCCCGTTATGCAGCTCTTCCCGCAAGCCAATCGTCCCTTGTTCGTTGGCGTCATTTGCTTAGTTCCATACATTTCGGCACACGACCCGTGAATCCATCCCAACCAATCGAACGCCAGTCCCGACACTGGAATTTCAACTTCAAGTTGTTTTCCGGATGACGTTCCACGCGCACCGTCGATGTACCCCTTGCTCAAGATGAAGTTGTGAGTGACTCATTGTCCCTCCAATTTTGTTCCATTAAAATACACTGCAGAGACATGCCTTTGTCATTGTCCCTCAAACTAGTGCGGAAGCGGCTGCAGCTATGCAACGTACGAACAGCAACCAGGCTAACAGTGCGATGCAATCAGGTCAACCACCAGCAGGTACCAAGAGTCTCAATCACGGCGCTCCCTTCTGAGCCTTCCCCAGCTGCTCAACACGCCCATCGACGGCTTGCACCTTTTGCAATGTTTGGAATCAGGAGACTGATGGTCTTGATGTTGTATACTGATTATCGTCGAATTTCCATTATGAAGATTATCCAACACGGTGGCGGCCATGACTAGTCACTGCGATATCTAAGTGACTGTCGCATTTTTATATCTGAACTTGTTTTCGTTGGACGCTGCCCTAGTCCTATGTTCACACTATGTTCAACCTTGGGCAGAAATTTGTAAATAAGGAGTATACGAAAATGACAAGAAAGAAAGTCAAGAAGAATAGCGACGGAGACGATGAGGACAAGCCTGCTGACGGTGGAGACGGCGAGAAGAAGAACAAACAACCTAACTTGACTCGACTCTTGAGAGCTAGATTGCAGAAGGTTGTCGATAAAGCTGACGAAGAGACGTGAGTTCACCTTTCTTCGTCTACAACTTACTTCTAATTCAAGTGACAGACATCGTGTGTTCTCTAACGTTTTCATGGAGATGCCGTCAAAGAAGGACTATCCGATGTATTACACACAAATCAAACAGCCCAATGTGCATAGAGACCGTTTTTGTAAGTCGCACATACTTTGACTCTGGAGTATGTGTTCACGACATCGCTAGAAACACTTGAAGCGCAAGGAATATCAAACCTCTCTAGACTTCGCAAATGATGTCGAGCTTGTGTTCCCTAACGCTCTCGAGTTTGAACCTATCACCAATACACCCACCCGGCTCCGACACCTCCGACACCCGCAATACCATCTTCCGCAGTACGAACACAGCCAGCGCCTCAGGTTCGGACGTCTCAATCGGTTTCAAGATCACTTGCATCTGTATTGGTTGGACATCGAGCGCTCAAGGGCATTTTCTTGATAACCAAGCCTCGGTGACAACTCTCTCATCTTATCTCGCACGCCTAGGACGCCAGCACAGACGAGGAGGCACAAGCCACACTTGTCGATGAATGCGATGTTTTCGTCACGCGGCACCGCTCTGGGAAGGCACGCTTCACAGTACGTCCTCTGTTTAACTTGAAGTCGTCAGCGGGAAAACATACGATAGCTATGCTATAGGTGGCCCGTCCATCTCGTCTGATTTTGATCAGAAACTTGACTTGGATGTTTCACGTCGATGCGACCGGCACACTGAATGACCCGCATGATTGTTTGCTGTGGTACCCAGTTCCAAGAGGAGGTATTCCTGGTCTCAACGAATGCGTGAGCAGCACCCATCATGTCCCTTATGTATTGACCACGCAACTGCACGCTGTGTTTTAGGCGCGAAGGAGAACTACCAATAGTCAATCATGCTTGGCTCGAGGATTGTTTCATTGCATGGACGTGGGTACCTCTGAGCGGCTGCTCTCAAGCTATCGCGTCTTTGTTCCGAATCCCAATCATATTCTTTTACAAGTTAGCCTCAACGCGAATCGACGCACTCTTGACAGAGTTGAAAAGGTTAGATGACAAGATGATTTTTGCCGAAGTACACCTGCTCGAGAGTCGCGTCTACCGTGGCATTGGAAACCTGTCGAAGTCCAAGGTTAGTCCTTCGAGTGCCATCCCGATATTCTCATTATGTGCCCTTACGTCCGTGAAATGCAAAGGCTGTCCTTACTTCCGCCAGGACTGCTGCAAACTCTATATTGTCCTCCTCATCTTCAAGCAGTGTTAGACCTCCAATCTGGTGTTCTCCATGCCGAGGACAAAGATTACGCTACTGCATACTCATATTTCTATGAGACTTTCGAGAACATGTCATCGCAGGATGACCCAGCAGCGCTGAACGCACTCAAGTACATGCTTTTGTGCAAGGTCATGTTGAATATGGTGTGTTGTCACTGATCTCGACTCGTCAGTCATTTTGATGTGTGTTCCAGCCCGAAGATGTAACATCACTTCTCTCTATCAATCTCGCGGTGAAATATGCTCAGCTTCGCGAGATCGAGAGCATGCGTGCCATAGCGCTTGCGCATCAGAATCGGAACTTGTCAGATTTCGAGAAGGCCCTTCCGGATTACAAACAAAGTATATTATACTCCATTTACACAACTTGTTGTTGACTTGTCATTGCTACAGAGAACTCTCGTCCGACCCTACTATTCGCTCACATCTCGCAGCGCTTTACGACACCCTTCTCCAGCAGAATTTGCTGCGTATCGTTGAGCCGTACTCGGTGGTAGAGATTGGCTACGTTGCCAAAAAGGTCGGGCAAGGACGGCAGGACGTTGAGGCCAAGTGCGTATTGAATTGTCTCTGTGAAAAGTAGCTAATATCGTGTTTTAGGCTATCTTAGACGATCTTGGACAAGGTGTTCCACGGCGTGCTGGATCAGGGACGAGGATGCCTGATCATATTCGATGAGCTAGAAGCTGACGTGTGTCCTCTCTTCTCACTCATCTCATTCATGCTCATCCTTTTTTCAGAACACGTATGGTGCAGCAATTGGGACCCTGGAACAAGTTAGCAAGGTCATAGACTCGTTGTATGCCAAAGTACGTCTGTTCATTGTTCCTGGCCGCTGGTCTATGCTTACGAATATCATTCAGACTGTCAGGATTAGATCGCAAGGCTGATTCTCGGTCAAACATGCACCGACAAACATAGATACTGTCGAAGTAGCAACAACGGCGAGGGAGAAATGCATTTTCTGTGCGAAGTGATATGGAATCTTGAGGGGGATCTTGAACGGATATCTATGAGGATGGGGGAACACTGTAGGGCGACGACCTTAACGGATAATAGTCTGTACGTTGCATCAAAGCTGTATGTAGTACATTGACGGTTCCTAAATCCCAAGCCTCCATAATCAATCCGTAATAGTACAAATTAGTTGGTTGCACAAGTAACGATCCGATTAGCAAGCAAGGTTTTCAGTACCGCTAATTTTGCCGGGGTCAAAGCCTTGAACAGCGAAACAAATCTATCGTGGTGGCATCTGTTGCCGTCCGGCGAGAACTCACTTCTAATATATGTCCCAGTCCGGCGTTCGGAAAGGGCCCAGCGGTAGAGGGTAGTTATCATCGTTAGCAGAGGTAGCAGGTTCCAATCTTCGCCGATATACTGGTGGTACCGAAATTCACTGTCATACAGTAGGTACGCAGCGAACGCTATGACCGCTGGATGGGAAAATGGGACCGAAGTGGCTACACCTTCGACCTACATGGAAGGACACTATATATTCAGGTTAAATTGACGTAAAGCATGACTTACATGTTGTGTAGCGTGTAGAAACGCATCATTCGCGATTAGACCTTCAACTCGCGTTTGACGCTCAGCGACATGAGACTCGTCCAGGGCAGCAGCGTAATCGAACTTGAGATCAAATTCGTAGTAAGCGAATATCCTTACGGCCCGCTTCAAAGCTTCATGAATTTCGTCCACTACAGGCGCGAGCTTGCTAACTTTGGAACGTGACTCGGTGGCCCAGATCCGAAGGTCGTCTAAGTTTGAATTCGTTCAGTCAGAATCACCTTTCACTACACGTTTAGACTACGTACCTCTGGTTTGTCTTCGCATGACAGTGTTCCACGAAGAGTTCGCTAACGAAGTGATGGTCACTTTCATAGGCAACAACGTGTCTTTCAGAAGAGCTCGTTTCATCTCTTCTTGACACGCAGATATCACGGCGGATTTACCCCATGGAATTATCTGTATTGGCTGTGCCTTCGACGTCACCCGCGCACGTTCGGCTCGATCAATGCCAGTCAGTTTTTGGCGCCGGCCCTGGGACCGTCCGGGAGTGGGCCAGGACTCGTGTGACTCATTCAAGAGCCGGGAGTGACGATTTTTGTCGATGATGGCGTCATGGTGGGAGGACGTGTTGGTGTCAATGCTGGCTGGGGCCGGCAGTTGACTCGGAACCGAGGGCGGTAGATTTCCGTATATCTCAGGGTCCGATGTCGCTGCTGGAGTGAGGATCGGTGAGGTGTGTTGGGTGTGTTGGGTGTGTTGGAATAGCATGAGGCTGCTGCTCTGGCCAGACCTCATCGAAGATCAGTGGGGGGGGCTCGTAGTGACCAAGAACGGGACGAAAGAGACTTGGGTGGAGCTGTGGACGGGGAATTCGAACAGGCAGAGGAGGAAGGAATGACCGACTGTGCGGTAGTGGTGCATGTCCAGGCTGCGGTTGCGGCCACGACGATGGCCCGGGACGCGACTCGTCATATGCTAGTGGTACATCTCCAGGCTGCAGTTGCGGCCACGACGATGGCCCAGGACGCGACTCATCATACGCTAGTGGTGCATCTCCAGGCTGCAGTTGCGGCCATGATGATGGCCCGGGACGCGACTCGTCGTCGTGTGCTACAAACCCTGAGTCAGAGTTGTGACTCGGATGGGCTGGTAGCGAGTGCGATTCTTGAAGTTGCAAATTTCCGGGCCACTGTGAGTGGGCCTGCAGTGAGTACGATTCTTGAATTTGCTGATTTTCTGGCCACTGTAAGTGGGCCTGCAGCAGTGAGTGCGATTCGGGAACTTGCTGATTTCCCGACCACTGTGAATGTTATCGATGTGAGTCATGGTGCGCACGGCAATCGGACGATGGCAGTGATCAACGAACTAATTCGCAGGCAAGAACTCACCGTGATTGACTGCCCACTGATATCGCCTGCTGACTCGGATGAGTCCCATTGCTGATCATCCCAGCGCGGTAACATCTGGCAGTGACTAGAGGTGGTGTGCGGTGGGAGATGGGAGTAGAAAGCTGAGTTATTAAGATTTCGGCCATTTTAAATTGCACTACTACGGCTCGAGGACGAACACGTGAAGTTACTGATTGAATTGAACCCTCAGGCCAGGCCCTGCTCGTGATGTAAAAGTATGTTCTGTGATACTTAAAATGGCAAACATAGTGCTTAACTATTACCTAAAGCTGCTGATCAGCCAATCAAAATTCGTCAATCAAAATAGAAACAAACGAGCAGCGCGATATATTCCTCTTCGCCTCCTGGTGCTTGTTGCATTTGGTCTGTTTCGTTAAAGTCCCTGCCAATTCTCCTCCTTATGACCTGTGCCGTTCTACTTTGATCGACCGTCCCAGCCGAACTTGGTCGCCAGAGATTGTTCATGGTATGGTTATGTTGCATTCAGTTTAGCATGATTCTAACTGGCTCAGCTTTACTGCAGAAGAGCATTGCAGTGGTACACACTTACCTTCACTATGTCACAGCTTTGTACTGCTCTGTATTCTCCTATGGGTCGATTATAGAGTCAGTCATCCCTCATCGATTCCTCAATGCCGAACGACGGCAAGAAGTTCTCCATCGTACTAAGACATTTGAGAACCGGCTGGCCCGCCGGATGTATCCGCGCTCACTGGTGTTAAGGCCCTCGTGTATGCTGACCGACTAGCGAGTGAAGTGCCTGGTTGGAGGTGATTCTTACTAAACTGCAGGTGCACGAAATGGCTGACTTGGACACATTCCGGTAACCCTCGTTGTTCTCATTGATAAATTCTTTTGAAGGACGCCGGTGAACCACCACAAATATCCAAATATGAAGGGAGCGCCATCGCAAAGTTTCAAGCTTACCCTGCGTTCAATGAGGCCCTCTGAAATTCAGAGGCTCCCTATATTATAATGACTTCATCAACACAACTGGGTGAAAGACCGGCCTCGCCAACTCGATATGGCCAAAATGACCAGGACATTCTGACATTCCTTCTCCACATGTCTGGCACTTGACATTGCTGTCGAGGGTTCCCATGCGAGGATCCATTAGACCGCCCATCTTAGGTTTGTGCGTTGTCTCGTCCATAACTCCGGATTGCCCACGGCTGACATTCCCTCTCCACATGTCTGGCACTTGACATTGCGGTCGATGGTTCCCATGCGAGGATCCATTAGACCGCCCATCTTAGGTTTGTGCGTTGTCTCGTCCATAACCTCCGGATGCCCCACTTTCGCCACCGAGTATGCTTTCTGCATGAGGACTAATTAGCACAGTACCTCAGAACCTGGGCCCTAAAAATGCAGCACCAAGTCAAGTGGTCACGTGGTCACGTGGTGTGACTTGCGCGTGGTCTCCATCAAAGTGTGACATCTGTGCAGCTTTTCAAATTGAATTTCATCAGGTTCGTGTTTGGCGGCTTTCGGATCGACAAACGATTATCATATTCAAGCACCATAGTCCGGTGTATTGTGTAACCTTTTTCACAGATGGCAAGTACATACTGAGTCAAGGAAGGGACAACATGACAATGATCTCAAAGCGGGTAATATCTTTCCTCGACGACATTCTCGGTGACTGGCAGGCTTGCAAGGTTCTTTTAAGCCTTCTATTTCACTCCGTAATCCGACCGTGTGTGATGCAGATCCTCACCATTAACACGACAGCCCGCGATGCATGCATAAGCGGAGACTTGATTATTGCCGCTAGGCTGCTTACTCAAGATATTTGTGCTGATAGCAACGACTACAACTCTTGCGCGAACTGTTCGTTCGTTAAAGCGCGAAATTCAAACTGGGTCTGCGCACTTGATGACACTCTCAAAGTGAGCATTTCGTCGTGGTTTTTTGACAGACTCACTTATACGGTGACATAGAGCATCAGTATTCAGCCATCCTTGATGGGCTATATCTCCAAGGGCATCGCCCACTGTGGAAGACGACAGTTCCAGGACGCGATGGAAGCATTTGACCTTGCGTTCATGTACGTGGACGCAGACTTGAATAAAACTCGTTTTCTGCTGTTGATTAAGGTACGTCGATTGTATTTCATATACTCGCTACTTACGCAACAGCTGTTAGGCCATCGCCCTTTTCAATGCAAATCTACATGACGAGGCAGTTCGGCGCATCCAAGAGCTAGCTAAAACTCGTCCCAATACGAACTCTCTTGCCTGTGGTATTGTAGAAGTGAGTACTCCTGACACAGTCAACTCCAGAGTCATGTATCGTTACTGATTTTCCGAACCTCACACTTCAGGCTTATCTACACGTCCAACTGGGAATGAACGCATTAGACGACGTACGTCACAACGAAGCGGCTGACCACTTCGCTGCTGCTGTCAGCACTATTAGTTTTTCGTCTATGTCGGACATCCATTCTAAATATGATGTTTTCGTGATGGTAGGTTGATGTTGATTGCAGTGCAACTCGACACATTTATCTACGCTGACTATACTTTTTCTAGCTATTCGGATGGGACCTCAAGTCCTTGTGGCGAACTGCACACCAGAATTGGTGCCATGCGCTTCTTCAGTCAGGGAGACTTCTAGAAGCCGTCGAAGCATGCCGATATATGATGGATACGGCTGATGAGGCTACGAAAGCACGCTGCCTTGATTGGTCCACTGGCAAGTCTTCGTGATGTCAACCGGGGATAAATTTCAACCTCATCTCACTTAGCATTTAAGAAAAAATGCAGCCTACACTATGCCGCAGACGGGAATAATGCCCTCGCTGTGGGTAGGTACGACAGGGCTATCGAGCTGTACTCTGCGGCGATTGACCTCGATTTGGCAACTGGTGTTGTCTTTGCGAACCGCAGCAAGGCGAGGTTGGGAAAAATGCTATGGGACGACGCGCTTATGGATGCACAAACGGTCTAATCTCATTTATTATTTCATAGTCCATACTCATTGTGTGAATACGTAGGTTATTAAAATGACCCCTTCGTCTCCCATTGGATACCAGTTAGTGCATGCAGCACTCCATGGCGCACAACATTACGATGAAGCGATTGGCGCATTCCAAACTTTGCTCTCGAAGTTGGAAAATACCCCTGGCACGCAAACACGAAGTATGCCAGATAAACACATCCTCAAACATCCTTAACTCTTTCTCCAGAGCTACGCCAACAGTATATTAGTCTATCTGAAGCAGAAGAAGCTATTCAGAAGACCATCGAAGCTCAACTCGATGACGCCCCGCATCGTCTACTCAACACGTTTACTGGGCGCTTATGCAATCGAGAGGTACAGATTAACACATTCAAAACGAGCACGGAATACAAGGAGCTCTTCTCATCATTGGCGCACGTAGATGCCCGAAAGGAGCGGATCAAAGATGTCAGTGGCAACGTACTTCCGTTGTGTTACGCTATCGCATCGGTGGGAAGGAAAGGAACCACTGCTCGACGACATCCAGAATAAGGTAGTTGATGAGTTGAATCCAGTTGGTGGGATCGTGAAGTTGCAGTCTTTTTGCAAAACAGCTCGTGCTGCAGGGTATCTCTGGGGGTGGATTGATTCATGTTGTATCGACCAGGCTAACAACGTCGACCTCCAAAAATCGCTCAACTCTATGTTTCTCTGGTATCGTACATCAGCGCTGACAATGGTCTACCTGTCGGATGTTCCACCATCATCGAAGCCAGGCGCACTGGCAAGGAGCGCATGGAATACGCGTGGATGGACCCTACCGGAATTTCTCGCCCCGAAAGTCATCCGTTTCTATCAATCTGACTGGACCCCTTATCTCAACAACCGCTCTTCCAACCATAAGCAGTCTGTTGCGATCATGCAGGAGTTGGAAGATGCTACCGGGATAGATGCACAAACCCTTGTCGCCTTCCGTCCAGGAATGATAAATGCCCGCGAGAAATTGCAATGGGCGTCGACGCGTGTCACCACGGTGGAGGAAGACATTGCGTACTCGTTATTTGGCATTTTTGGCGTTCAGCTCCCTATCATGTATGGCAAGAAGAAGCAAAAGGCACTCGGGCGGCTCTTACAGGAGATCATCGCAGAGTCTGGGGACATTACTGTCCTGGACTGGGTCGGAACATCATCTCAATTCAACAGCTGTCTGCCTGCCGACATCGCTTCATACGAAGCCTCACCATACACGCTGCCATCTATATCTGAAGACGAGATGCAGAGATCGGTCTCGTTGCTACAAGACACTGCGGTTGTCGAGTTAGCTTTGGGATTATACAGCTCGCTTGACCGGCTGAGCGCTCCACATTTTGCTCACCGTCGGCTGCATCTGCCGTGCATCGCATTCCCTGTCACAGAGGTCAGGCGGAGATCCATTGAACCCAAGGAGACCTACTTCACGTATAGAGTCAAAGCAAACGGGCTTCATGACCTGAAGATCACCACGGAGGACAGGTTGCTTCAGTTCTCAAAAGGAAGACCCGCTCGACGGTCATTCCTACTCGTCCGCCCATGGGATCGTCGCCTTTTTGAGCTGCTTGCCAGTGATTACGCAGACAATACAGAGAGCATGGATGACGATGACTTCGCTCTGCCTGAGTCGCCTGGAGAAGAGGGCCCGATTAATTCAGAATTGAGCGAGCGTGCAATGCGATTGATTATTCGCCTTGGACAGCCGTTCAGCGCACTCCTGCTAGCGCAGCATGGTGGAGAATACAGGAGGATAGCATCTGATGATGATATCATTGCACAAGTCAAAGACGTGGTGTCTGTTCACAATATGATGGACGTCAGGACACTCAAGATATTGTAGCTGTATCATCTTTTGGTAGCAATAGATCTCTTATTAGTTTTCTTTACTCGGCTGCTGGTCACTTCTGGGGTCGGCCAGCTCTGGGACCAGGTAGTTATGTTCGTCTTTGTGCCTGCGCGAACCTTACAGTTTCTCATAGTTTTGTCTGTAGTACGTTGGACTCCTTGTCAATCCAATGGTCTAGCGTAAACCGAGCAAAGACAATGCAGATGACGATCACTACGATGACCGTGATAACCCTTCTAATACTCAGATCAACGGGGAGGATACCTTTGGACTGGCTCCTTCCAAGGATCCTGCTCGCTCAACTTACTTCACGACAGCAGACTCGTGCATATTGCATGTCTATTGGTCGAACGTCAGTCAAAACAATATATTTCATTCAATCTTATATCAGATCATATGGATGACGTTTAGTGAAGTTTATCGCAGTATATAGAGCCATATTTACCAGGAGAAAAGCATACTAAAAGGAGGGAGAACGAGAATAGTCAGCAACGTTGAGAAGAATGCGCTACCATACCTTGTGTGTTGCGATGGTGCCGTTTCACGACTTTGTGGTGAACTTAAATAGCATTGTACACCAGTGGGGCAACGCCAAAGCCACTTCCCGCGAGAAGGTCATGGATGACCTCAGATAACATCTTAATTTAGAAGAAAAAGAAAACAGTAAACGACGTTGAGAGGAATGTGCTACCATACCTCACATGTTGCGATGGCGCCATGTCACGACTTTGTGTTGGACTCTAATAGGAATATAAGTTGGATGAGCAGTGCTAAAGCTACTTATCACGATAATGTCTTGAATAGTGTCGTAATTCAACATATAAATAAGGCAAATCGACAATGCTCGAAATAATTGGCACAAGCGAACTATCGCCCCCCATCTACTGCAATGGCACATTCTGACGACATCGTCGTGGATTGCTCACGTCACTCTCCATTTACGGATCTCAATGGCCATGTATCTACAAGTCAAATTTCTCGCAGTATATATGATATTATTTAGCAGGAACAGAATTGTATCCTTCTATAGTTCTCACGGCTACAATATCAAGGAATCATCAATTCACTGATGATGTTCCAGCTTCGCTCTTCTCGAAATGACCTTGTACTCCAAGTTGTCGCCAAGATACTGTTTGGCACAGAGGACGAAGATATTGCGCCAAAAACTTCCCTATTAAAACAGCCATCCACTGAGTAAATTGAGGTCATTGGACTCGAGCTTGGTGAGTGAGATGAATATGGAAAGAGTGGAATATGTAGACAAGTGGGCAGATGAAGCTGGGAGGCAATGAGCACCTGAATCTGAAGATTGTGTCGTTGGTAGGACTGGTCATCGTGACCGTATACCATACATATGTCGCACAATGCATTCGAACTGTTCGACGGTACGGTACAAGTCACTGTACGGTCCTACGACCGACCTATACGGTCATACGGGGGATGAAAAAAAACATCAGTACTAACATACAATTGAATTTGAAAGTGAAAACAGGGGGTGACGAAGATAAAGATAAAGAGGGATCGACATGATTACTGCCTGTGTGGTACTTTCCATCAAAGCGGAAGTATAGCAAGCTCGCCGAGAGTAATTCTCTTCATTGATTAATGTGGTGCAAGGGACACGGGCCGCGGCATAGCTGACAGGAAGACATCGGGGGAAACTCCTGAAAAGTTTCAAACTCGTGCATTGAAAACAATGTAATTTCGTGAAAAGTTGTTATACAAGGTGCGAGTGATAGGTACCAGGTGGCTGTGTAGCATTTATATTACTAATCATCAACTTGCATCTTGGACTCAATGCTGTGCTGGAAGCTCTGGTTTGGGCTTCGCGTATCCAAGACCAGTCGCTAAACCACAAGCAAGACACCATTAACCATGACATGGCGATACCAAAGCGAAAATAGAAACATGACTCGCTATCCCGATGTGCCGCTCGGGCTGCCGGCTCAATTTTCAATCGACTTCGAGGTGCCCATGTTGCACTGGGTGAGTCATGTGGTTGAGTCCTAGTTGTACAGCGACCTGCTCATAGTACTACTCACAATATTATAGGCGCAATACAAGTGAGGGCAGCAATCAGGGTTTAATATGCAAGGTCCGTACAGTCCCGAACATGCACTGATAGGCATAGATGCTGTCAAAGCAACAGCAATGGCGAGGAGGGAGAAACACATTTTCTGTACAAGGTGATATGTTTCTGAGGGATTCTCGAATGATCTCACCAATTATGGGGGGAGCACTGCAGGACAGCGACCAGCTTTTATATCCTGCACACATGATTCTGATCATTTTGGCAGAATTGGTATTGCTGTCAGATAGCATAAATTTCGGCAGAACCTGCAGGAGCGTGTTTAACCGATTATGACCATCGAACCATAACCTGCCTGCAGGCATCGACAAGTCTCTTCTTTGTAACCACAAAGTGTTCCTTTGAATCACCCGGGCCGGTCTCTCACCCCAATCTCTGACTTGTGGCTTCATCATTTAAACCCGGAAGTGTGCTCTATGTGAGAATAAGGCTATGCATTTTCAATGTGGGCTCCGGAGTCGAGACCAGTCTGTAGTGCTACATGGTTACCGTCAACTATTAATTACAGAAACTTTCGTTCGCAGTGCTGCATACCCCACTTGACGATGCAGACGGTCATGGACCTCCTGCTACACACCATCTCAGAGACTCAGAAAAGCCTGGCATGGCCACTTGGAAGGACAGTGGATTTTACCATAGTGCATAAGCACATTTTCTGAATGTGTTAGAAGCTGACGAGCGAGGATGCCTTCCTGTAAGCAAAGGTATGAGAGCCTTGAGTTGAAATAACTTCAGATGATTGGCGCCTTTCGAGACAAAATCAAGGCGCATGAAAGTTTTGAGTACACCACCAACTGTCAAATTCACACGTTGTGTAATTGACGAAAAACGATTGAGATGTGTATGATAAAGCTAGAACCCTGTACATAAACGGCATATTTCTTATAAATAATACAGTTATTTGAAAATTATCCAACATCCAGTCACCATAAGAGGTCTAGTTCAGAATATTGACCAGAGCCTGGACGCGCACTGAATGAGCATGTGAAATAGCTCTATTTCCGTACTGGGAGCGAAGTATCGGCACAGCAACAATACCAACAAACCGGTGGCACACGAACCAAGGTATAGGATCTATATACCCAAAGTACAGGAGAGGCACGCGGCAAGTATAGGATCTATAATGACACCTTTGTTTTGGTACAACCTACAATGAAAGATATAGGATATACATATGGCAAGTAGTACTACCATACAGCACAATAAGTATAGCACGTCATCAACACTCACCGAGTACTCAGCATGCGTTGAATTGCACACTTCGCGTTCAAATCACAAATAGAACAGAACATAAAACGAAATTGTATTGCAGATTGGCATGATAATATATACAGATACGCAATGATACAACATGCCCATTCCATGCAGTAAAACTAACTATGTAACAGAAATCAAAGGACAAGGGTAAAAGAGCGCAATGTGTTTGGAGAACTCTGTCCATATGAAGTCCAGGGTGTCATCATGCATCAAAGGGGTAGCGAGCTCATCAGCATCTTCGGCAGCCAAATTGATGTCACCCCCCACCCACTCCTCGATGAATTGACCCTCAAGGGGGATACTGGGATTCCAGAAAGCCCACTTGCCATTGGGGAAGTCGGGATTGGCAGCGACGAATGCATACCAGAATGCATCACGACCCCAAGTCCATTCAGGCGTCACTGTATCCGCTAACGTCACGAGCCACGACTGTATAGTGCTGGAGAGTTCTGCCCAGTGGTCGGAGTCCATATGATTGAATGTCGACGGTAAGGGGAGGAATGGAATGGACGTGTCGCCATCAGATGCGGAGAAGGGTTCATATTGACTGGAAGCTACGGACTTCATATGCATCAAGGTCAGCCATGGCGCAAAAAATCAACTTAAATTACTTACATTGTTAGAAGGTTCCCTGGAGCGCTTAGATGCTATCTCAATCACAGGTACTGTGAATAATTGATACTCTTCGTTCAGGGATACACTGATTTTAATGGGCTAAATACCCATTGATATAAGTAGTGGTTATATGTAGAAATATTGGGCGACATACAATGTTTGAGTGAGCGAGGTGTCGAGGAACCGCACCGGAAAACCATACTGAGACTGAGAAAGGTTGCAAGAGTACATCTTCTGATTCGGCTCGCAGAATTCCTGGACAGAAGGTGGAAGTTGAAAATTCGTGAGGTTCGAGTGCCCTGGTGCTTGACATTGGTCGCATTGTGCTTGGCATTGAACTTGGAAGAAATTTGGAAGAATAATACGAGTCACATGTTTTCAACAAACCCCTTATTGGTCATCACTCCGCTTGCCAAGATCATCACTCTGCTTGCAAAATTTCACAGCTGGCCTGCACACTGCGTCCTGCGCTGGCGTTGACTCTGGTGTCGGAAAGTCTACTCGCACCCAGACTCAAGTCAGTAATACATCCCCTCATCTCAGTGCTTATGAAGGACTCGGAGCTGTCTTGAATTTCCCTTCCGCATATCGTATGCATCTGCTCCTCTGCTACCTGTCTTTCTCTTCACTCTTGGTCTATCTCATGCATGGTGTGGCATTTCCTCTATCCACGGACTATCAAGAAGCATTTTCTTCGCCATTACCACCCTACTATTACTTTGCCACCCCTCAGCGCAGCACTCAGGCCTCAGGAGCGTCACCCGCTCTTCTCCATCCATCCGCCCCAACGTGAACACTTAATACTCAGGACCAGGTTCTTTATCATATTCCCTTCTACATATCATCTGCTACTTACTTACTATCTTTACTGCGCACATATCCCTACTCAAGAGCTGGTTCTTTATCATATTCCCTTCCTATCCATCCATCCTACCTTCGCCGCCCACATCTCTCTACTCAGGAGCGGGTTCTTTATTATATTCCCTTCTACATATAATCTGGCACTTCCTATCCATCCATCCTACCTTCGCCGCCCACATCTCTCTACTCAGGAGCGGGTTCTTTATCATATTCCCTTCTACATATAATCTGGCACTTCCTATCCATCCATCCTACCTTCGCCGCCCACATCTCTCTACTCAGGAGCGGGTTCTTTATCATATTCCCTTCTACATATAATCTGGCACTTCCTATCCATCCATCCTACCTTCGCCACCCACATCTCTCTACTCAGGAGCGGGTTCTTTATCATATTCCCTTCTACATATCACTCACTCCCTTCGCTACTCCACCTTATCTTTGCCCCCTATAAGGTCTATATATTCAGGAGCGGGTTCTCTATTCCCTTCTACATATCATCTGCTACTTTACAGGACACATTCTGAATCTATTTACACGCACACCTCACGGCTGGGAGGTGCGGGCATAACATTTTTCTTGTCCTCCCTCACCATTGATGCAGAGGTTGGATCACGTGATTTTTGCTGCCTCCAAAGCACCAAGTCTTTCATTGTGCTACAATCACTCGAAAAGCGCATCAGCATGAGTCTGGCATCGCTGAAGCTTGTCGACGGTAAAAGTATGTTTCATGCTCGATATTAATGTGATGTGCTGACACATGATGTAGTCTTTGAGTTTCAGTCGTGCATCTGAAGTTGTGTGCAATGTCTGTCCGACGCACACTGATGGATCTTTGCGTACAATGCATATCAAACATGTCCAGAAACATTCTACAACTGGCGACACACAAATGTCGTGCCAACAATCCACTGCCTTCAAAAGTCCGTCCTCCAAAGCAGAACCACCTTCATAACCTTTCGTGTGCCGGCAGTAAGGACAACAACGACAACATGGAATTTACCATCTCAAGTGGTATGGACATCAATATAGACGACCCTGGTACTCCCACACTGGACCACGATGTACCAATTGGTTCAGACTCGGAACCAGGCATACCCATCTCTGAACTCTGGAACGCAATATCAAGCAGCCGTTTCTACAACTCAGAACTCAATGAAATGAGGGATTTATTTGACGAACTGCAGTGTGCTCTCACTTCTGGTGAATCTCTTTTTTCTATGCCACTCGCACCCATGACCGAAGAGGTTGGCTTCAATGATGAGACGGAATCAAATTTTGGCATTGAACTTGAAGGTAATGCACTACTTCATGACTTTGAACGAGACTTATTTCAATTATCAGATGAATGTCCGTTAACCACCAAGAGTCATGTTAATCTCAACAGTCCAGTATCACCTGACCATCCAATGTACCCATGGCCGTCAAAAGCTGTATGTCGACAGCTGTCTTGTATTCCTTACGCTGACATCTCATTTAAGCATTTCATCACTGCGCTACTATTCAGTTCTCCAAGGCTTCCGTTTTCTGAGGCGCAGAAGAAGGCAATTTTATCTTGGGCAAAGGAACTCGGTGCTCGTGATGTTCCCTCACTGTATGCCTTGAACCGCTTCCAAGAGACTATCCAAACACTTGCTGGAAATCCGACAGAAAAGGTCACTGCTCGTTCGGGGAACATATTCTATTTCAACGACGTCGGGAAAGCAATTGCAAAGGTATGTGGAATCTTGCATGCTTGTGCGCATCTCTCATACTGACTTCTAATTTTCTATTGAGGACTATGCCAACCCTCTGACTCGTTTTGCGATGCAGGATTACCCGGAAGATGGAGGAAGAGGAATGTCCCAGGTGTTCAATGGGGAGAAGATGTTATTCGAGCTCCCTTCGCCCCCGGCAGCTAAAGTCAATGGGGAGATATACTTCGTCAAGGAGCTCTTGCAGGATAGCTCGGGAGATTATTTTATTCCCGAACATTTTTTTTTTGCATCATATGCATCTGAGTCAACGAGTGATACAGCAGACAAGCTGTTATATGCGCTAGGGCGTGCTGTACAATGAACGGAGGTAATCCCATCGTCTATGTGTCTTAACTAACCTTGCTGATAATACACATAGGAAGGGTTCATTATCAGCGACAAACAAGAAATCATTCCAACATCTAACTTTAGGAGGTCATTCAGAGAGATATCTCTTGATGTCAATGAACTTGTGTGCGGGCTGACAGAGTCATCGAAGAAATACGCCAAACTCAAACCGAATCCGTTGTGCGCAAAATCTTGAGGTCGTATGGTATATACTGTCCCTCTCATTATTTTTATGGATGACGTGTCAGGGAATATCTCCAAACAGTGGAACAAGCACCACGCGATATATATGTCAAATGTGAATCTCCCTCACGAAATGCTGGAGAAAGAATTTTGTATTCGTTTCATCACGTCCTCTCCTCATGCAGCTCCCATGGAGATGATGAGCGCCATGCAAGACTCAATTGGGTACATGATACAGTAATATTTACTACAGTACAATATGACCTGCGATCATAGGAAGGCTGCAGAATCTGGGATCTTCGCTTGGGACTGCAAAGACAATGAAGAAGTCATGCTGGATCCATATGGTCTCTTTCTCGGTGGCGACAACCCTATGCATGCTGAGGAGTGTAGTCACGCAGGCTTACATTGTAACTACTTTTGTCGGACATGCGAAGTTGGTGGAACAAAGGAGTATAAGGAGTTGGATGAGGGCTACAACAGCATTTTTGTGGTATGTGAGATGTTCCTGCCCTACCCCTCGCAATATTGACTCTCAACTGTAGCCAGGACAACTTCGTACTCCTGCTGGAACAGCAGCTGAGATTCGCGCTCAATTCGTTACTGCACTCAATTCAGGCGCTTCTGAGAAAATCAAGAAATCCGTCTCTTCAACAGGTATAAAAGATACTACGACAGGCTACATTCTTGAGGCAGTTGTTGAGATGGGAAAGAAACTGTGCAAACGGGTGGCTGGTGTCCAGCCAAAACAGGAGAGCGACGTCAAGGCGATTTTAAACAAGGAACTCGAAGATCTCTTACGAGGGAGCACACTCAATAATGCAATAAATCCTTTACTCAGCGTGGAGGGTGAGTATTGAATTCGTGTTGCTGTATGCACACTGATCTTTGTCAGGATTCAATGTTCATCAAGACATGCCAACGGAAATACTCCACACAGTGCTATTGGGGGTTGTAAAGTATTTTTGGGGTCAGACCATGTATCTTCTCGAAAAGGCGAAGCTTTTGGATCTTTTTCAAACACGACTCGACTCGATTGCGAAGGATGGACTTGACTCTCCATGTCTCAACGCTGATTACATTTGCCACTACAAAGGTAGTCTCATCGGGAAACATTTCAAGAGTTTAGCTCAGGTAATGCCATTTCTCATTCAAGATCTGTTGCCGAGAACGGTACTTGATGGGTGGACAACTATTGGCGAGCTCGTTGTGCATATTTGGCACACCAAGATAGATGATACAGAAATATACTTGGTATGATGACGAGCTGCCGATGCTGTTCCAATGCTGATCAACTCACAGGCCAAGCTTTCCCGGACCATCGAAGATTTCCTCAACGTTACGGCTCAATGTGCACCTAGTATCCTTGTCTCGAAACTGAAGTTTCATTTCTTGGTTCATCTTCCTGCGTACATCCGACGCTTCGGACCTGCAATTCTCTTTTCCACTGAATGATACGAGTCTTTTAATCATGTTTTCCGGCTTGCATGTATCCACAGCAATCGACAAGGACCAAGTCAAGATACGTGCAGAACCTTCGCGAGACAAGATATTATCAAGCACATTGCTACGGGTGGCTACTGGTTTGATACTGCCAGTAAAAAGTGGGTTCGGGCAGGTGACAAGGTGTTAAGCTACGTTGATGAGCATCCAGAACAAGCGCGGCTTTTGGGAATTCATATGGAAACATCTCCTATAACAGGTAGCGTGCTCCTTCGATATCAGTTCAATTGTAACTTCTGTCACTCAAAAGGAACTGGTCAACTCAAGAAAGTCGCCGCTGCAGGTGGACAGTTTGTTGTAGAAAAGCCTGTATCATGGACAGCAACACGCTGCGCAAAGGCGCTCGATCTTCTGCAACCTGCCACTGTTCAATACCGTCATGGAATCTCTTTAGTCATTAGCAATGGCGAGAAGGCATCCTTAGGTGGACACGTTATATTTAATGACTCCTCGACGTCTTCCTCAGGAATTGGACGTGTTTGCAAGATTCTGATATCAAATCTTTGCCGGGATGTGCAGCATGTCGCCATTCAGAAATTTACTTTCAGACCTACTTTACATCCCTCACTTCACCTCCCCACTCTTGAGCTCACAGACCATGAGATTGTCGTTAGCCCACAAGTAAGTTTGAACTTCTCTCCAATTCAGAGTCCTTATCATATGTACACGATGAATCTAGGACATTATTTGTATCGTAAATATCCAGCATGACTGCGTCAAAGCACAGTGCACGGATGTTAGTCAATGCTGTGTCCTTCAAGAACGAACCGAGACTGCGTGTACAAGGCCTGTCATTCAGCACCAACCCTCACCGTTTTACCTTCTCAACGCATATTCAATTCACAATTACGCCCAGATTCGATCTGTAATCCCTCAGTCTCTCCATGAGACACCATTGAGGGTCACTAATGTGGCAGATGTTTATCTTGCAGCAGCTCATCAAATCCGGGAGAAGAAAGCAGCGAGGAAAGCAGGTGAAACACCCGGTGCTGCATCTGCGAGCGCACCGCCCAATGGTGTGGCTAGAGTTCCTGCAGTGTTTGACCGCCCAGCAGCAAAGGCAGCAAGCAAGGCAAAGCCAACACAGAAAGCAAAGGAGAAGGCACCTCATCCACGCACAAATCCACGACGCCCCGCGATCACACAGTCAGTTGCATCTTCAAGTTCCCAGCTCCCAATACCCCCCATGGCGCCAGTCGCCAGCGGATCTTCCCATGTATCATCATCATCGGCACCCATGCCTTCGATGCACCTGCCCTCAATGGCACCATTACAGTGGCAACAATCTCCTATTCCTTCGTCTAGAGTTCTCCCTTCCCATCACCTGTTGCACCCTCCCCCAATGGTACTGACGTGGCAATCATCTCCCACGTTCAGTCCATCTAGACCTCTCCCTTCGTTACATTCGCCTCCCATCATGGTACCATCACAGTAACTACCGCCTGTACATTCTCCTTTGGCTTCCATCCCTCAGCCACAGTACCACCATCCCCCGCCCCTCCATTCAGATTATCTACGACAATTATCTCACCTGGGGCAGCCACCCTTGCAACCTTTTTTGCCAGTGATGACACCGCACATATGGAACCCTCAAGCCCCACATCCATCACATCAAGACCAGTTCAGAAGACAGTATTAGACCGCTCACATGAAATGCATCTTCTTGGACAAATTCGTGTGTTTGTCTTTGAAGTTTTTCCTTCAACGTTCGAGTGTTTGTCCTTGAAATTTTTCCTCCAACGTTCGAGTGTTTGTCTTTGAAATTTTTCCTCCAACGTTTGGGGTTAACCATCCTTGGTGTGGTGGCATCATTGGATGGTCCAATTTCTATGTACTTCCGCAGAATTGCAGACACCTTACATATACCAACACAAATACAACAATGCCGCATGATTTTTACTTCTGCCCAGAACACATCAAGAGTCCCCAAATTTTCGTCAACACTCGAACAACAATCAAATAAGGTTCAAATCCCTATTGCCGACAACGTGTTCAATTCAGTCACCCGGCTCGGAGTGCCTCGGGACAAACCTTGGCAAGCAGCCACTCATGGTGAGCAACTTCGGTGCTTGTGGCAATGTTTCAACACGGATATCGTCTGCGCGTGTCCTCCAGTGGTGGCCAAAATTCGGGGTTACCTTCACAGGGAGCCCAGTCATTGAGGCCACGGTCGAACACAGGAACTTCACAGGCAGGATCTGTAAGGAATAGAAGTATCACGCCTGATCCAAGAGGACATAGAAGTAAGTCTTCTGATACAAGTTATTGTTCAATTTAATGGCGCACTTCGCAGACATTTCATGCCCCCAAAGTTCTACCTCCACCAGCGGCGAGGCCCTAGATATACCTGAACTTGGAGTCCAACCGCCCTCCAGCCCAACGTCATCACTTGACGAGCCAATCAGCGCAGGAATTCATCGATGCAGGGACAGTGGACCTCCCAACCATGGTGATCCCACCAAGCTCACGCCTCAACGTGCGAAACACTTGAAAATGCATGCGAAGAAGGCTTGTGAAGAAAATGATGTTCTGGAGGAAGACATTATGACTTTCATCAATGTACTAAGTTCTCATTGAATTATTCATTTATCATGTTGGCTCACTCAATGCAGTCTGGTGACATTTTCTATATGCTCATAGACTTGAAGATCACCCTCGTCAAACTTTGTCAGGGAAACAAGGCCAGGAGATTGCAGGAATTAAAGGATGCGCTGGAATCAAAGGACTTCGAGGTAACAACACAGTACTTTGCTTTCTGCATGGTCATATGCTAAACTGGACTCACAGAATGGACTTTACAACCACTTGTTTGCTTGTATACTCTCGCCAAATCTCACAGCGTATGTCACTGACACGCAGTCTCATATAATGGTCGGGCTTTGCATTCACTATTCTGAATGAAAGCTAACAAATTTCAGGACTTTATCGGCAAGAATAGGGACATCTTCAAAATTCCCCCTGGACTTCTCAAGGACGTTGAGCTCAGATCTCAACTGGGCAAGGCGGTCACAAAGCTACTCACAAATATTCGTAGTTCCATCAAAACCAACGTAAGTCTCGCTCTATTTGTTGACACAACTTCAATCATGGTATGATTACTGCGCAGCTCACTACATCGATTGTCAAACGCACAAGCATTGCTGATGTGACCAGGTCACTTGCGCATAGCGGGTCTGGCATGGAGGTTGATTCTACTCATTGGAACAGGATTGCACTGCTCGTAAGTCTTACTATCTGTAGCTTAATATCAATATTAATTAGTATGAGGACAGCGGCATCTCCTGCGGATTTTTCTCATCGGTGTCAGCAATTATAAAACTGCTTCCATCAAGGATTTATTTTCCCCTTACCTTATTCCATCGCTCAAGCAGGATTTATGGGACAAAGTCGCACGTGAGCTTGATATTGATGTCAAACAGCTTGAGAGAGACATATTCGAGGGTGATTTTGATGATGTGCCTGAGACTGATGTCAATCCAAGTCAAGCCCCCACAGAAACTCAAGTCAATACCAATCACGCGCCCAGTGCCAGGAGGGACGCTGACGTGAATGTCGAACAGTTTGCGGACGAAAGTGGAATGCAGCAGGATGCCAATGGAGAGGATGAGGAGTCAAATGTGAGCAGCGGTGCAAACAGCGCGGTCTTTCTCAACAACCCGCTTGACTCTGGATTCGGACTTGCAGAAGGCATGGCAGTGCAGTACAACAGTACAACTAAGTTCTGGAACTTCGTCTACCACTCACTTTCGATTATGCGCAAGATATCCGTTGAATCCTCCCCAATCGTCACCGAGCAGGATAAGGAGTTGCAGAAGTATGTATTCATTAGCCAGTGCCATTATACAGACTGATTTTTCGTTAGGTTGCTCATCGAGATCTTTCAAGCTGATCTCGCCGAGTTTCCTGGTGGCAAGAAGGTCTCAAAGCTAATTTCGAAGACCAACCCACGCTGGCAGACCGCTATTCAGACTGGACTCATTTTGTAATTCCAAAGAGTTATACTTTCATTTGTTTTCACCACCCCCTCCAACCCCATCCTTCATTTTAATACTTGAGCTTACTAGTAGTCATTTGATACATGAATAATACAGTTGTCGTGCTTTCCATAATCCCATTATTGTGCTCTCCGTGATCCCCAATGGTGCAATATCAGTGCGAAAAAAAATCAGGCAGTACTCATTCAGCATATCAATAAGTATATACTCTATATATGTTCCAGTGTCGTGCATATGCCAGAAATGTATAGCTTGTACACTGGTCAACCAGTATATTACCAATGCCTAGGTCTCAGTATACGATCTATGTTTGTCAACTAGGATAGTTCCGGTACTCGGTCTCAGTACATAATGTGCACCCAAAACCAGCCGATGAATTTACACCCCACAAGCATCGCTGTTATGATCCCGCATCATTGACATTATATCAACCTATGGGTCCAACAAATATGTATTATATAATTATATATAATGTACGTGACGAGATTTGTTGTGTCGAGATCAGACCAATATAAGTTCTATAACCCTGTTTTTGGGCATAGATTCTATGCTTTTTCGGTTGGCGGTGTACTTGCTAGGGCGTGACACGGGTCGACCCGGGTCATACCCGCACCCAACCCGCGGGTACCAAAAATTTTAGAGGCCTACCTGTACCCGCGCGGGTAAGAGCATCGCGGGTACGGGTCAACCCACGACCCAACACGCAGGTGGTATGGGTAACCCGTGGGTGAGTAGTAGGGCTCGGTGAGAAATACAGATGTTACTAACATCGGTTATTAACATCAGTTATTAGCCGGTTAATAACAAGTTCGAGTCAATAACAATATTGTTGCTCTTTTCCTTTCCTGAGGCCTCGCCTTTGCCCTTGACCATCTTTGTTCACATGATTGATGTGACAGCACCGAGATCATTCATGAGAGGTGTGTTGTACAGTAGACTTGCTCATAATGTATATGGTAATAATGCATATTTTTCATATTGTATTGGGTTTGGGTGGCTCCCATTGTGGTATGCGGGGAAATGGCCAGAAAATTGTATAATGTATAATGTATAGTGTTTGATGGTTCAATATACAGTATGACACCTGGTTTACTAAGGCCCGGGGTGGTCGGAGATCCTGCAAGTAGCATGAAAATTTTTCATTAATGAACATCTAGTACTGACTCAATGGTGTGTAGCACCAAAAAACATCAGCCACGTCCTAAGCCTGGCCCATACAAGCCTCGGAAGCCAATGACATCTCATGGGAAAGATGCCACTGCACCTAAAACCTCCTAAAACTATACACTGTCAAAATCTTACACTAAAGGACTGGATTGCCATCTTTCGATACATTGATGCTCATCCAGACTTACCACAAGAGCATGTGGTTCAGTACTTCAAGATGAAGCCACAGGATGCACTTGAATTTACACAGGCAACTCTATCTCGAAAACTAAAGGATCGTCAACAATTTGAGCAACAAGTCAATTCTCACCCAAATGCTCTTTTGAGCAAGCAGCCCCGAGTTGTTACTCACCCTGATGTTGAAGACACGTTCTGGAACATGAAGTAGACTAGATACCGACAACTCGTTGAATACATGCAATGATGCTGTGACCGTGGGAACTATTCCATCCTGTATATTTTTCATAGTGTATAGAGAAAGGTGGCTCCTGTCACTATACATTATGAGCAAGTGTACTGTACCATACTAGTGTTGCCGGTTCTAGCCGCGGCCCGAGCTAAAAATAGCTGAGTTGACAAGTGGTTACAGCTTGTGTAATTACGGCTCGGCCCGGCTTGAATAGTTACAGCTAAGTTGACTTAAGGGCTTCTAATTGGCCTCACTTGGGTCTTGTTTAAACGCAGACAGTGAGGTACTAGCCAGCAAAACAAGGACCCTGTTGCGCGGGCAAGGGGCCCCCAGAGTGAATTCAGGTACAAACAGATGGTAACCTAAAAAATAACGCCATACAAAAGATGATGGGAGGGAATAAAAGGGTGGGTGCGCAAAATGAGTCCCTAGTGCAATGAATGGCTTGAGTGAGAAGAGAAAAGGACTTAGACAAAACAACGCACCTAGTGAGACGAATGGCTCGAGTGAGAAGAGGCGAAGAGCTCCTTTACAATTTGTCCCACCAGGTATAGCACACCAAACTCCGCTAAAGGAGGTGGCAGCGAGAGCTGCCGAATTGGCAATAAGGACTGCCACTACGACAGTAAGGACTGCCAGGGTGACGATGAGGATCGCCAGCTTGACAATAAGGACTGTCAAGGTGGCAATGAGGATTGCCAAAGTTTAATGACAAGGTTAAAGATGCACAGGGCATCAGTAAAGGTCCAGATTCGAAGGAAATGAGTTTCAGGGAAATCCATTGGGCAAATCTGCTATGGAGCACATTCACCCAATTACACTGGTATAAACAAGATTAAACTCGAAAAACTAACTCTATTAATAATATATTCTAAAATTATATAAGCCAAAAATAGATTGACAATTTAGTACTCCAGTCATTGAGAACCATGACGAGAAATCAGAGCAGATTGTCGATCACATCAATTCACAAATGCACTCAAATGCACTCTACATTTTACAATAACTTTATTGATATCAATGGGTCCGCAAGACAAAGTAAGTAATTATGATAATGTGCTATTACAAACTAAAATAAATCACTAGTTATACAGTACTGCGACTTGCGCAAGAAGGTTGCGAGAGCAGTGCACATCAGCACAAAACATGGAAAGACCCATTGAGAGGCAGTGGGGAGTCGAGAGAGCTGTTGAGATACAAGGAGGGGAAAGAACCGTTCAAACAACTCAGAGGTCCAGGTGGGGACGTTACTTGAGGCAACTTCTAGGTCGTGGTTGCGGGGGCAGGAATTAGTGTTGAGATTGAAGAGAGGTCTGGGTTGTGAACATTTATAAATAGAATAGTGTTCTCGATTGAAATGTAAACTGGTGTCATTATTGGCGATGATCGAATGGTGGGCAATGACTGAGATCAGTGTGGTCCGAACTCGAACAAGAATCAATGGACTCACTCTGCAAATGGTAAGCAACGAGCTTAGATCAGTGTGGCTCAAGCTCGAATGAGAATTGACTGACTCACTCTGCGAATGGTAGGTGTTACAGTGACCCCATCATTTTCCCATCATCACCCACAGGACTACGCATGTACTATACTTCTTGATCCCCGCTATACTTCTTGATCCCCATCTCACTTCTAGCGCACCTCATGTTGACCATGAGGACCCTCCTTATCTCTGACTTCCTTTTCTTGTACTTCTACAACGCCTCATGGACTGGTATGTGCACTTCTCCTTACATATATAAACCCTAGCTACCTCTTGTACATTTTCCTTAACTTGAATCTACTCAGTTCTCCCTGATACCTGACACAGACCTGAGGGTGCCTCTGATCTAGCTCGTTGCGAAGAGACTAGCCTTTACTCGATCACTTCACCAGAGTTCTATCTCTGGTCATCATTTACTTGAACCCATACTCTTGATCTCCTTTATTGGAGCTGTTACGGAAGACTCCATCTGAGTGTGTAACAGTAGGCAACGAGCTTGGATCAGCGTGGTCCGAGCTCAAACAAGAATCAATGGACTCACTCTGCGAACAGTAGGCAACGAGCTTGGATCAGTGTGGTCTGAGCTTGAATGATAATTGACGGACTCACTCTGCAAACAGTAGGCAATGAGCTTGGATCAGTGTGGTCCGAGCTCAAACAATAATCGACAGACTCACTCTGCAAACAGTAAGCAACGAGCTTGGATCAGTGTGCTTCCGCGTGCTCCTTGAGGGCATCTTGCAACTCTGCCCCTGAGCCCTCTTCAAAGCAGTAGTACACATTCAGATCATTGGTGGCTTGTAGGCCAGCCTTTTTCCGAAGCCTCTATACCCGGTTGATGACCTCTCTCACAAGCCATTCGCCCATCAGCTCCAGGTGGACTTGGTTATCCAGTCTGACCATGGCATCATTATCAGTATGGGTTGCATACTGGCCTTCAGAAGTGGGTGGTAACTTGAGGTAATGTTGCACGGTCAGGTCACCAGTGACTGACTCAATGCCATTAACTGTGAGCTTCCCTAAGTCGACGTATGCCTTGACATCGGTGGCGGGAACATTGGGAAGCACGTTCTTGACGTGTCTGAGATCCTTGCGCAGTTTACGGCCTAGTGTACCCCAATCTGCGACAGCTCAGTAGCCAATGCCATGGGTAGTCAAGCTGAGCTGGTTCAAACAGATGAAGTGGGACATGGAACATGTTGGCAAGTGGGGATGGCACGGGTGGCATGAACGGTGTAGAGACTCGTGCATCTCATGGTCTGATATTGGTCTGATATGACAGTTTTCACTAGGGAGTACATAGCATGAACTTGTAGCGTCACTCTGTGCGCTACCTGCAGCTATCCCTATATGAGGCACAGCTATCCCGCGCAATGCGCGCACACTTCCCGTGCTTCACGATGTATATGCGCGTTCCCGCGCTTGAGCGCCCTATAGCACCAGCCATCCAGAAGCATCCATCCACTGTCCACCAAGCTCCCTAGTGCATATATTTCCGTTTCTCTCATTTGCATATTGTTCCACCTTATTTTTATCATGGACCCTTACTTATATATATCTCTACATACCTACTCGGTAGCGCTTCGGCTCCACATGACAGCGCTTAGGCGCGTTATATAAGCGCCAGCAGTACATACCATTGGGGGGGGGGGGGGGGCTGGCTACACTTTTCACTTGACTTTTGACTTTCTATCTTAGCTCACCTTACCTTACTTTCCACCCACTATCTACCTAGAAGAACATAGTTGAAATCTATTTTGTCTACACTTTGCACTCTCATATCTCTTATCTCACATCATATTATCATTCAAGCTTATTTCTCTCTCATTTCCGCATATATGCACGCACTTTCCCGCGCTTCGCGCCTTACGCGCACGCGTTCCCACGCCTTCGTGCCTTGCACGCACCTGCGCTTTCTCGCGCCTCGCATTGGCCAATTGGTAGCGCTTTCAGCGCTTACCTCTAGATCTTCGCTGTACTCGCTTCCCCTTTAGGGTCGAATGCACTTGTCATCTCAAGAATAGCAGACTAGGCAATGCGCAACCTATGACATTTATAGATACAGTCAGGAGCCTTGTACGCACCTTGCTGTATTGTTGTTTCTACAACGGACCTGAAGATATGCTTTGTACTCGACCATGAGATACATGGAAGGGCGAGCTAGGCGGTGAATTTAAAGAAATGCTAGGTGGAGGTCTACCTGTTGGTTGACATGCTGGTATTCCAGGACCAAGCTGTGGTTGTCGAAGACTAGCAGGTGCTGCTGTCAACATAGGCTCATTGTCTGGTATGAGCACAGACGTGTATGAGCTTGGATCAGCATGGTCCGAGCTCAAATGAGAATCGACAGACTCACTCTGTGAACAATGAGCAACGAGCTTGGATCAGCGTGGTCCGAGCTCAAATGAGGATTGATAGACTCACTCTGTGAACGGTGAGCAACAAGCTTGGATCAGTGTGGTCTGAGGTCAAACAAGGATCGACATACTCACTCTGTGAACAGTGGGTAGCGACCTTGGGTCAGTGTTAAACGAAGATTGACACACTCAGCAACTGCAAACAGTGGACAATGACTTGAGTCAGTATGGCCCAAGCTCAAATGAAGATTGACACGCTCACTAACTGCAAACGGTGGACAACAACTTGGGTCAGCATGGCCCAAGGCTTCTTCATATGCGTGGGTGGCAGTAGCCACAGCTTCTTCATATGCCTGGACAGCAGCATTCACAGCTTCCCTGACAGCATCTGCATGCACAGATATCAGATACTGCTCGAAAGCGACATAAAAAAGGGAACTGACTTTTGCTGGTGATGAAGATGGTGCTGCTTGTCGAAAATGTAGAAAGAGTGTTCGAGGATAATGACAGCAGCTAGATGGTCAATAATAAGCAGGTTCATCACAACATCAGTCAGTGAGAGCGAGGTAGAAACAATATACCCACACCCTAACAATAAATCAGCGATTGTATCGGTAAGGATGGGACACAGGATGACCACACTCACAAGCTGTCAATGGACTGACAATATCTTTGCTCAGTAGTTCAAGGTCAGTAGAGGATGAATGTACTGACCTCCTGCCAATAGATAATCAATTGTGTTGGTCAGGGATACAAATAATCAATGAGCTCACGTCCTATCAACAGATAAGAAGACTTAGATTTGATGGACGATTGACACACTCACAGCCTGTAGACAGTGGGCAATGACTTAGATCAGCATGGCCTGAGCTCGAAAGAGGATTGACACAATGACTTGGATCAGCATGGCTGTTGCTTGAATGAGGATCAACACACTCACATGCTGTGAACAGTGGGCAACAACTTGGATCAGCATGGCTGTTGTTGAATGAGGATCGACACACTCACTGTCTGCAAACAGTGGGCAACGACTTGGATCAGCATGGCTGTTGCTCAAATGAGGATCGACACACTCACATGCTGTGAACGGTGGGCAACGACTTGGATCAGCATGGCTGTTGCTCAAA